CTCTCCCGCCCGCCCTCCCCGCCACCCCCGCCCCCGAGAAAATGCGACCAGATTCCTCGCGGCTTTGGGCTTCCATTGCCCGGCCCACCAGCCACGGACTGCGTCTTTTCGGGTGTTTGCAGACAGTTTGTTCTCCCGCCTCTCTGCACGGCGCCTCTTTGTGCCTTCCGCGGGCTCCCCCTCCGCGCTGCCGGTCCGGGCTCTCATTTTTCCGAGCGCCCGGAACGGACTCGGACCCGTGGGCAGCTTCAGGAACGAAGCCGCCCCTCACAGGACTGTCGACAGCGGCGAGGGCTGGAAGGCAGGGCGTGCCGCCGGTTAGGGGCGGGAGGGGGCGTGACGATGGAGCGCTGGACTGTCGTATAACGCCCAGTAGACGTGGTCTTGTAGGGAGAATGTGTGTGTAGAGTGGCTACAATTTATTTTTAAAAAAACACCTTGAAAGGCAACCTGCCATCACATCCACCGTGGCTGCGTTCGAAGGCCATCTTGTGAGGTGGTTTTGATTTTTCCTACTTGTCTGCACTTTTATATAATGAGTTGATTTACTTGAAAATAAAATACAACCACAGGAAGTTTTATAAAATTATTGCACAAGCCCTGGCTGGGGTGGCTCAGTGGATTGAGCATGGGCTGCAAACCAAAGGGTCACCAGATTGATTCCCAGTCAGGGCACATGTCTGGGTTGCAGGCCAGGTCCCCAGTAGGGGGCCCACAAAAGGTATCCACCCATTGATTGATGTTTCTCTCTTTCTCCCCTTCCCTTTCCCTCTGTCTAAAAATAAATAAATAAAATCTTTTTAAAAGTTATTGCACAAACCACACGTTTAATGGAAATAAAAATACAAGCAGGGAAATATTGGCCCATAGTTCTGCAGAGAGCTCCCTTTACTTGTGTTTCTTTTTTCCCTTGACACTTTTATGTATTGGTATTAGGGGAAGAGAGAAAGAGAGAGAAAGAAACGTTGATTTGTTGTTCCGGGTATTGGTGCTGTCATTGGTTGAGTCTTGCATGTGTCCTCACTGGGGATCGAACCCGCAACCTTGGTGTATCCACAGGATTGCCTGACTGCCTGAGCTCCCTGGCCAGGGCCTGGACAGCGCCCTTTCTGGCCTGGGAACCGTCGTCCGTGGGCATTTGTAGAATCGAACACAAGTATCCGGACTCCACCACGGTGGGGCGGCTGAGGGGACATGGTCCCCGGGGAGCCGTGACTGCGTGGACATGCCCCGCAGGCTGTGGCGATGAAGGGTTCTGGGGGGGGTCCACCTCCGAGGGCCCTGGCCTCACACTCAGTAGCAGCCCAGCTGTCCCTGTTCCGCCAGCCGACGCAGAGTCCTGACGTTGTCTGCTAATATGGTTCGACCCCTGGAGAAGGGAGGACCCCACAGCCTGGGGAGGAGCCCCTTGCCCCAGCCCTGAGGACACCCGAGGACGGGGCCCAGGGGTGTCTGGCCTGGGCGCAGCCCTGGCTCTCAAGCTCGGGCCTGTTATGGACCCCCAGCCTCAGTTTTCCCAGTTGGGAGGCCACGGTCGCTGTAAGGACCGAGGGAGGGAACCCCCACGTGCCTCCCAGCACAAAACGCCCCTCCAAGAGTGGTCAGCACCCCAGTCCGTGGGCCTAGCCTCCGTCTCTGCCCGCCGCAGGGAGCGCTGGCTGCCGACCAGAGCCCTACTGCGTGCGCCCTACTGCGTGCGCTCGGCCAGTGGGCGGGCCTCACCCCCAGCTCGGCGCCCGGAGCGGCTGCCACTGCCTGGCTGGGCACACGTGACTTCCTGTTTTCTGAAGCCTGGGGCGGCAACGTCGTCACCGGTGGTGTCTGAGCCCGGGGTGGAGGCGGGGCGGCGGCGGGATGCTGGCCTCGAGGTGGGGGTGCAAGGGGAGGTGGGGGGCTTGGAGGCTGGCCAGTGCCACCTGCGTGGCGGGCGTTGTGACTGAGAGCGATGCCACGAGGCCCTGTGTGCCGAGCGTGGCCAGCCCATTCCGTGGCAGCGTCCCCGCGGGGGAGGAGGCTTCCCTGTGGCCACACCACTGATCCCGCAGCAGAGCCCTTGGAGAGATCTGCTCTCGCCCGGATCCCGGAGTGCTTCCCGAGCAGGGGAGGGGACAGGAGCCAGGGGGGTGGGAAGGCTGCCCGCGGGAGTGGGAGAGCCTGTGCCCTGTGTGCAGAGGCAGGACCACAGCTGATGGGTGGTGAGCTCCCCGTCACCTGGGGTATTCAAGCAGAGGCTACAGGTGCCAGAGGAGAAATTCTTTCAAGAGGTGCGATGCCCTCTGGGTGGAAGCAACCCCGGACGGAGTGTGGAGACGAAGTGCAGACACGAGCCCTGGTCCCTGCCCGCTGCTGGGGCCCAGAGCCTGCTGGTGGCAGAGAGGGCCACCTGGGGCCAGCGGGCTCAGCAGGTGCCCCTGAGCAGGGCGCTTCCCGCACACTGTCCCCTCATGTCACTGCATAACTAACCACCCCCGAAGTCGGTCTCACTAAACCCCCTTTGCAGAGGGGAGACAAGAGCACCGGGGCAAAGGGGGTGGTCCGGACACAGAGTCAGGAAGAGGCCGGTTCGGAATTGGAATCTTCGTGTTTCTGGCTCTCGGGCCTCTCTGCTCCTTGATCCTCAGGCCCATCCCCCCCTCCCCAGCACAGGCGCTGCTGGGCCCGGCAGAGGGAGGTCCCGACCCCCCACCCTGGGCACAGCACACCTGTCACTGACCACAAAACGAAGCTGCTCTTCGGACAGAAAAAGGACAACCGGCCCCCATCACTCATCTCTGGGGGGGCACCCAGTTCCCCTCCCCCACCGCGCCGTTCTGCACACCCCGAGGGAACGTTGCTTCTTATTTGTTCTGAATTTACTGTCCAGGAAGTTTTCTGTGCTCATTTCATGTGACAGGCAGCCAAGCAATATTTCTCCCAGTCCTCCCTCTGAGTCCCGGCTGCCCCCATAATTCGCGGCGGGCACAGCCTCTCCCGTCCTGAGAGGGGCAACCACCCGCCTTTGGTGGCCTCTGCAGGGAGGGGGCGGCTTCTCCCCGGAGAACCCCACCGCGCCTGGCTGCCTGGCGGCTGTCTGCCCTGCCCAGCGCGCAGCGCGCGCCAAGGTGGGGGCAGGAGGATGGGCGGATGGAGAGGAGGCAGCCCCCTCCCCCTCTCATCTGCAGCACTAACGGGGGGGGGGGTGTGGAGGGGCGCCAGACCTCCTGACCCGCTCGTGTTTTGTCTGTGGAGAGCTTTGCAGGACCCGGGCCCCTGCCCTGAACGTCCACGAGGGGCACAGCGCTGGACCGGCCCCACCGGGCAGACGCTGGGGGCAGGGGTGGGCCGCACTGGAGGCGGGGCGGGAAGGACCCGGGCGGGAGGCGGGGAGGCAGGTGAGTCTGGGCCCCGGTATGGCCTCGACCAGGGGTCTGGGCTTCGCTCACAGGAAAGGGGTCGCCAGTGGCTTCTGGGCAGGAACTTCGGGGAGTTTACAAGGCTGCCAGCTGCCCTGGCCGGAGGGTCCTGAATTAGGGAGGGGTCAAAGGTTGGAGGACAGAGCGATTCAGGCGGCGGGGTGCGGCTCCGGGGGCGGCCTGCGGGAGGGACCGGCATCGCCCCTGTGAAGAGGGGGCAGGGCCCCGCGGAGGAGGGAAGTGGGGGGCGGGGGACGCCCCCCCGGGGCACCTCAGGCGGCCCCCCACTGGCTGTGTGCGCTGCTGGGTGACCCTGAAGTTCTCTGGGCCTCAGTCCCCGTGGGGTGCTGCTGCATTCAAGTGGGTCTGGCACAGAGTAAACCCGCGAGAAATGTTACCGTTTCCACCACGAGAAGCCGCCGAAGAGGGTGAAGAACTTGCCCCGTCACAGTCAGTAGGGATAAGACGGCGGCGCTCCAGGGCACAGCAGCCACTCCCGCAGCGGCCGCCAGAGGGCGCCCCGGCCTCGGGACCGGCCGCCGCCCGGCGCACCTGGCACTTGCGCGCGGGTCACACCGGGCTGAGTGGAGTGGCGACGGCCAGAGGCTGCGCCCCGTGGTGCGGGGGAGTCGCCGCCCACGTCCCTGGTAGGAAGGACCGTCTAGGCTCCAGTCCGCGCCCCCTCGCTCACAGCTCCGTGAGCTCTCACGTACAGTCTCACTTTCCTTTAACCTGAATGTCCACGGTGCCCCGCCCCCAGCCGCCCTGCACTCCCGCGACCGCACAGGGTTGGTGTGGGACGGGCCCGCAGGGACTCGCAGAGGGGCCTCTGAGCGGCTCCTCCGCGTGGCTGCCTCGGTTGGTCACCAGATGGCGGTGGGCGTGCAGGGACGGAAAGGGAGAGACCGTGCAGAGGGCACGGCGGCAACAGTCAGGGACCGGGGGTGTGTCCTGGCGCGTGGCGCGGGGCTGAGGCCTCGAACCACCACTGTGAGCAGGAGCCCGGACGTCCGGGTGGGGGCGCCCCCAGGGTTCCTCGCTCTGCTGCTCATGAGACCGCTGGGCCGGGGAGGGGAGCCAGCACCGGACCCCACTGCCCTGGGGGCGGTGGGGGTCGAGGGGGGTCTGCTTGGTCCCTGGCACCAGGGGCGCCAGAGTCAGGGCGGGAGGAGAGTCACCCAGATCCTGGAAGCTCCAGTGAAGGCAGAGGCTGGAGTGCCCTCGTCTGATCTTCGGTCCTGTCCTGTCCCTGCGGGGTGGGGGAGGGGGCTCAGGGAGCCACACCCCTACACTGAGGGGGCGCCGCTCATCCGCACGCCAGCGCGCAGAGGCTTCCAGAGTCCGTGGTGCACGTGGGGCTCCGGCACAGCCGTCCGTGGCGCCCAGGCAGCTGTCCTGCGCATGTGGACGGCTTCCCTTGCCCCCCACCCCCCATTTCCACCTTCCTCCCGGCTCTGTGGCCCCACCAGGTGTCACAGTGCTACGGGGACAGGTGAGGTTTCCCCAGAAGCTGGTCCAAGGGGGTGGGAGGGGGTCTGGGGTCAGAGAGGGGCTGGGGACACGCCTGTCACCGGGGGCCTGGCTAACGGGTCTCTTCTCCTGGCGCAGACGCACAGAGCTTCGGCCTGCTGGACCCCAAACTGTGCTACCTGTTGGATGGGATCCTCTTCATCTACGGCATCATCATCACCGCCCTGTTCCTGAGGGCCAAGGTGGGCGCCCCTGACTCTGGGGGAGGGCGTGGGCCCCCCTCGGTGGATGTTCACAGGGGCCTTGGTCTCGCAAAGTCTCCGGGCCTGGGTCGTGCCTATGGCTTGGCGCCCACGGCCGAGCCGGGGCCAGCCCAGCGGGCACACTGGGTGGGCCGGGGAGGTGGGCAGGGACCCGGGTACTGGCCAGTGTCGTGAGGAGCGTGGGCACGTGACACCAAGGTGTGGGGGGCGGGGAGGCAGGAACTGCTGGAAGGAAATGGCCTTAACTTCGGTCTCTCCCCCAGTCCGCTGTCCATCTGCCCGCGCAGGCCCCTGGCGGGAAGTGGGAGGTTTGCCCACTCCCCCCACCCGGGGCTTCCGTGAGCCTCACAGGGCCTGGGCTCCTTGGAGGGGCGGGGGCGGCCCTGGTGGGCGGAGGACGGGGGAGGTCTGGTGGGGAAGGGGGTTCCAGCCCCATTGTCACTGCAGCACCCCACCTCAGGCTGTTTGGGAGTTGAGACCTGGATATTGTATTGGAAAAGCAGAGCTGTGCGCTCTTCCTTTTTAACGCCGGAATGGGCCGCCCCGGGTCCCTCCGGTGGGCCCCCTGGCTCTGGCCGGCGGGGCCTGGCAGAGTCTCCGGCTGAGCGGGGAGCAGGAAAGGGGCGGCTCGCGTGCGCCCTGCGCAGGTCCTCGGGGCCCTCCGCCAGCGCCAGGCGGGAGGCGCGCGGCACAGGAGCGGGACCTCGCGCAGCCGTGGGCCACCGTGGGGCTGTCCTCCGAGGTGCTGGGAGAAAGGGCCTGAGGATCTTCTGCGGGACCGGACCTGGGGAGGGCACTGCCCGGGGCGGCCTGAAGCCCCCGGGGCCAGCGCAGCGCTGCTCGTACCCCCGGGGGGGGTGGGGCGGGGCGGGGTGGGGGGGTCCGGGAGCAGGGGGCTCAGACCCGGCTACCAGGCGGGAGCGAGGCAGTGGGCGGTGGCGGCCCCGCTGGGGCACTCACGCTGTGCTGTCCCCTCTCTTCCAGTTCAGCCACAGCACGGACGCTGCGGCGCAGGCGCAGGCGCAGGGCCCGGGTCAGCTCTACAACGTGAGTCCGCTCGGCCGCGCAGGCACGGCCGGCAGGGAGGAGGGGCGTCCTCCGCTGCACCCCGGAAAACCCGGGCGGTAACGCACCTGCGTCGGGGGGCACTGCGGGGCCGACAGGCTCTCAGGACCCGGTGCCGGAAAGGCCGGCTCCACGCGGCGCGGGTGCACACAAGGCCGGGCTGGCGGGCTCCTCCCATGCGGGGGACCCGGCGCAGCCGAACTGACCCCACCCCCACCGGTGGTAACATGACCCCGAGGGGTGCTCTGAGATGCTGGGACCCAAGGGACCAGTTACCACCACCCCCAGTCCCTGCTGCCCTGTCTGAGAGCCCCCAGGGACCCCGGAGGGACCCCCGCCCCTGACACGCCCCTGTTTCAGGAGCTCAACCTGGGCCGGAGAGAGGAGTACGACATGTTGGATAAGAGACGCGGCCGGGACCCCGAGATGGGAGGAAAACAGGTAGGACTTTCCTCACTCCGCCCGTGCCAGTGTGCGCGTTGGGGGGGGGGGACCCTTCAGAGCCACCAGCACTCAGGGTCACTGCCCCAGACCCTGCCTGCAAGGGGCCTGGGCCCGGGACAGCTGGAGGCCCCTCTCCAGCTGCCCCCAGGCCCGCCCCGCGGGCCGCATCAGTGCGCCCACGGGTGAGAGCAGCACCGCCCTCCTGCCCAAGCTCCCCGCGTCCCCAGACTGCCCCCCCGGGCCCCTGAGATGCGCTCACAGTGGCACCGCCTGCCCCAGGGGGACAGACCAAGGAAGCCATGCGGGAAGGGGTGCCGGGTGCCCCTGAGAGTGGGTCGTCGGGTGGCTCTGTCCCCCCCGCTGTGCCCAGGCAGCAGCTGGCTGAAGCCAGGATCCTCCTGTCTGACACCACCTGGGACCCGACGTCCCCCCAGCACCACCCCCACCTGAGCTCTGTGTGGGGTGCGCTGTTGTGAGAGAGAATGGGGGGACCCCGTCCATCTCCTTGACGCCCCGCCCCCGAACCTCAGCCCTTCCCTCCTTACCTGGACCCGGAGGGGTGAGCGAGCCGATGCGGAGGTCAGGGGGTCCGCTGAGCAGCCGCCGGCCGCGCTCCCAGCGGGGGCACTTGGTGTTTTTCCCCTTCGGCGAGGCCTCGCTTGTGAGCTTGTGCCGCAAGGGCCAGCACGTCCGCCAGGGGGCCTGCCCGGGCGCGGCTGCGCTGTGTGCAGGGGCCTGTGAGGGGCGGGCGCCGGGGGGCGCAGGGCACGCCGCCCCGCTGTGAGGGGCCCAGCGTGCGGGGACCAGGCTGCGGGCCCCACAGAGGGCAGGGGTGGGCGGGGCAGCTGTCCCTGGCGGGAGGGTCCCACACCTGACCTTGCCTGTCTCCGCCCGCAGAGGAGGAAGAACCCGCAGGATGGCGTCTACAACGTGAGTGGGGCTGCGGGAGGGTCCCCTCCTGCCACCCCCCGGGCCTCCTGTCCCTCAGCCCCAGCCCAGGCGGCAGGTCCCGGGGGCAGTGGGGACAGTGGGGCCCCGCAGGTCAGGCTGGGCGGGCCTCCGAGGGCTCCCGTTCCCCCCCCCCCGCCGTGTGGCCCTCCATGCCCTCCACGCCCTCCACGGGGAAGCCGACCTCACCATCCCGGTGGGCCCGACGCTGCTCACAGGCGTCTCGGCCTGGGCCTGGGTCTGCCGAGACGCCGGGCCGGGCGGCGGGGGGTGGGGCCTGTGAAGAGGCGCCCCGCCCCCTCTGCAGGGGGTTGGCCACGTGCTCAGACGCATGTTTCTGGGCCCGGGGAGCCCCGCGTGGTCCGCGTCCGTGTCCTTTGGGCAGAACGCCGCATCGGTCCTCCCCAGCCTCGGCGGAGCTGCTCAGCTCCGGGCAGCGGGCTGGCGGCCAGAGCCCCCGAGGGCGGCGGCGGAGGAGGAGGAGGAGGAGGAGGGTGGGCGGGAGCTGGCTCCCGGCAGACGACGTGTGAATAAGGACCCCCCAACTCGGGAACCGAGAGGCCTGGAGTTGGAGGGGCCCCGAGTCTGCCGCGGTGGGGGACCCGTGTCCCGTGCTCCCCCTCCAGGCGCTGCAGCGGGAGAAGATGGCGGAGGCCTACAGCGAGATCGGGACGAAGGCCGAGGTGGGTGCCGCTCGCTCTCAAACCCGAGGACTGGGGGGCGGGGCCGTGCTCGGCGAGGAGCCTCCCGGTCTCCCCCGCCCCCGCCTGCCGTGGGCCTCCGTCCCGCCATCCACGCCGCCTGCTGAAGCCACGTGGTGACCAGGGGGGCGGAGGTTAACCCGCTCCGCCCCACGCGGCTCTCTGGGCCCTCCAGGGGGCGGAAACCGAGGCCCGCGGCCTGACCCGCCCCCTCTCTCGTCTCCCCCGCAGAACCAGCGCCGCAGGGGCAAGGGGCACGACGGCCTCTACCAGGTAAGGGCGCCACCTGGCCAGGGTGTGGTCAGGCTCCCACACGCTCTCGCCAACAACCGGGCAGGGCGAGCGGCAGGGGGCCGGGGTGGGGGTGCTGGGGTCCCATTATTCAGGCACCTGGCAGGGTTCCCCCCGCGGGCTGGGGGCGTCCTGGGCTCTGACCCCTGGAGCCAAGCAGCTGCTGCCTGGGGCGGTGCCATCCAGCCCCCCCGCCACCACCCGGCTGTGAGGCCCCCCTCCACAGCCCAGCCCCCCCCACCCCCCCGCCGCAGACCCAGGAGGACCGTGGGAAGAGCGGGGAGGCTGGAGGGAGAACATCACGGACAGTGACGAGTTTGAAAAGGAAGTGCAGCAGGGAGGTGGCTGGTTTATGCGAGTCAGGGGCGATGACTAGGCACATGTCAGTCACCCCAGGGGTCTCCTCTCCCCGCTGGCTGCCCTGGCCAGGTCCCAGCTCCAGCCCCCCACTGACTCCAACCAGGTGGGCTGGCCCCAGTCACCGCGATGTCACGGGGGCCCCGGGACGTGGCTGAGACCAGCCCGCCTGTGGCCTGGGACGAGGCGGCAGCGGCTGGCTGGGCGCGGCGGGGTTCCCCAGGAGAGGAGCTGCCCCCGGCCCTGCCCAGCAGGGACGCCGCCGTCCCCGCCCCCCCGCACGAGGGGCCGTTCCCCGGGCCCCTGGGCGTGGGTGGACGCTTCCTGCTGGCCCACTATCTCCTCCGACCTCCCGTCCCCAGGGGCTCAGCTCGGCCACCAAGGACACCTACGACGCCCTGCACATGCAGGCGCTGCCCCCGCGCTAGTGGCTGGCGGGCGCACACTCCCAGGCCCGCCCTGCAGACGCCGAGATTGTAAGGCCCAGGACACACCGCGCACGCCCCGGCTCGCCCGCACCTCACCGCCGCAGCCGACCTCCCCCGTGACGACCGTCGGGTCCCTCGCCGTCCCAGGCCTTCCTGCGCCGGACGCCGCCGGCGCGCCGTGGGGGAGAGCGCCCTGGCTGCGGCCTGTCCTCCGGGAGCCCAGGGGTCCTTGGCCTTCTGTCCGGGCACTGTGGCCCTGGTGGAGGGGGGGAGGGGTGCTGGGGAGGGCGGGCTCAGCCCCCTGCCGAGCTGTGCGGTTAAGCCCCGGCGGAGCCCCACACGCCCGCACCCGCCGCCGAACAGTCTGTACCGTGCTGTCCATTTGCGCTGCTGTAAATCTGGCTTCTGTCGTCGGCCGCCTGCCCCCCCCCAGCCCTGCTCAGCAGCTCGTGACAGGGCCCGGAGGCCACAGCCCCCTGCGAAGGTCTGGCCAAAGGGCCAGGCCGGCCGTGGGGAGGCTCCGGAGCCCGGCCTCCCCCAGCCAGCGCCCCTCCCACGCGGTGGTCTGGGGCTAGACGCCCGGGGCCCTGCACGGGGGAGCGTGCCGGGGGCCGGCTGGAGTAAACGCCCGTGGCAGCGCCGAGCATGACCCAGCGGGGAGGCGGCCGGGTGCATCCTGGGCACCGGTGCCCTTCGCCCCGAGTGCAGGGCACACCCACACCCGTGCAGGCCTGCAGGGGAGAGTCCACAGTGCCTGGACCCACGGAGACGCCAGGGGAGGGGGGCCGACGGACGCCTGTCTGCTGGGCCGGGTTGAACCTCTGCCGGTTTGCTAAAGCCGCCTGTCTGCCCAATAAATGCTTTGGTGACATCGCCGCTTCAGGCTGAGCTTTATTATTTCGGCAGTCAGTCCCCAGGGGGCCAGCCTGCCCCCAGCTGGGGGGGGCGGGGCGCAGATGGAGAGGGGCCCTGGGGGCAGGGCGCCGGCCATAGGGTGTGAGACCGGCCTGAGGGGCTGCCCGCCCTCAGGCGCTGGGGACACGCAGCGCTGCCTGCACCTCGGAGGGTGTCGGGGAGGGAGGGACAGGGGACAGTGCGGGTGACGCAGCACAGGCCTCAGGCCACAGGGACTGGGAGGACGGGGGAGGACGGGGGCAGGAGGCCTGCCCCCGCAGGCAGCCCCTCCTCTCCGGGCAGTGGCTGTGGGTGGGGTCTGACTCGCCAGCCCACCCGCGGGTGCCGTGCCTGGGAGAGGCTCTGGGGTCGGCCTTCGCTCGTTCGCAGCAGCATCTGGTCAGGGCTGCTGGTGGTCCACGTCGGGGACCCCGACGGGAGCTGCGCGCGCTGCCAGTGGGTGCACCCGTCATCACGGCTCCCCCAGCTCCTCTGTCCCAGCCCCCAGCGAGCCACCGGGGAAGGGAGAGAAGCTTCGGGAACCGTCACGGGGCTGGGGACTTACTAACGTTCTGTCCCCGATGTCAGCCCCGTCCCCTGAAAGGACGCAGCGCCCTCAGCAGCGTCAGGACACTGGGGGCCGGGTGGGTGAGGGCGGGGGCCAGGGAGCGCGGAGGGGCCGGGAGGGCTGGCACGGGGCGACCCCCGAGGGGCAGGGAGACCTCAGACCCCCGCTTCGCCCACCGGAGCTCGCTGGGCCGCCAGCAGCCTCCCGCGGCCCCGCCGCGTCTGCTACTCACGGGCTTCCTGAAGGCAGGCACGGCCCGCCCGCCGGTCGGGCCGGGGAGGCCTCACACCGTGCCGGTTCCCAGGTCCGCGGAGCCGGGCGCCCGGCACGGCCTGCGTGACGCGCGCGAGTCTGATCCACCGCGTCAAGGATCTGGAGACAAAGTCGGGGGGTGGGGGTGGGGCAGGGGGAGGGGGGCACACGCAGGGTGACCTCGGAGAGAGACACCCCGGGAAGGAGGGGACGGAGTGACGTGCTGACAGACGGAGCCCCAGAGCCAGGGTGGGAGGGGCCCTCGTGTCTGGAGAGGAGAGGTGGCGACAAGAGCGCTCCCCTCTCGTGGGCAGGTCACGGGGTCCGCAGGCCGCTGCAAGTGGGTCAGGACACGCCCACCTTCTGCAGGGGCCCTCTCCCCTCCCCACCTGAGGGTGTGACCAGTGGGGGCTTTGCCTGCCAAGTCCCTGTCACCCTGGTGAGCACCCCACCGTCTCTACCGAACAGGATTCCCGCCCAGAACTTGGAAGAGTTGTCAGGGAATGAGGTCACCCACCGAACTGCGAGCTGTAAATATGGGAAGTGGGGCTGGAGAAGGGTGGGCAGAGGGCCCCCCCCACAGAGCCTGACGGCTGGCAGCCCCCCTAACTCGCGGAGTGTGTACACCACGTCCGGGGGCCACGGCAGCACGGAGACACTGCGTGCCGAGCGGAACCGGCACGAGGGCTCCGCTGGGTGCCCTTGGGCAGGGGACCGGGGGCCGGACGGGCCGGGGGGCATGCGCAGAGCAGCTGAAACAGTGACACTGGCAAAGCCGGGTTCAGTGTCAGTTCTGGGGTCAAGTCCCCAGGGAAAGGGGTCTTCGGAGAGCTCCCTCGCGGGGCCCGTCAGGGGCCTGCTGTGTGATGGCAGCGAGCCCTGGGGTCTGAAAAGCCCCCTCCTGCTGGCTCCTGCCCCCCGGCACTCGGGCAGGGGGGGGGGTGCAGCACCCAGGTCTGGACCCAGCACTGTCAAAGAAACTCAAGACAACGTGGAAACACTTGGAAAACGGTTTAATGATGTTTTACAACAGAAATGAACTGTACAGTTACAGTCGGGCTTCATATATATATAAAAATTACAGCAGACACACACACTACACAGAACCCGGCCTTTCCTGCGACCCGCTGCCGCCCACACAGCCTCTCCCGGGCCCGCAGCCCCTCGGCAGCCTGGGGACGGGGGGTCCCAGGAAGGGAACTTTTAAGGAGACAGCACCACTCATCCCTACCTGCCCCCCGACTCCTCAGGCCTGGGGAGGAGTCAGTGAAGCCCTCCAAGCAAGAAGCTGCTTGTGTTTCCGGGGGGACCCAGATAACAAAACTCCCGATTCCAAGTTACCAGATGGTTTTTGTCAAATATCCCCCCGGGGGAAACAGCTGCTGGGGTGTGGCGGGGGTGCAGTGGGGGCTGCACGACAGCCGCCCGGACAGCAAAGTCACTCTGGGGGAGACGGGAAGGAGTCCCGGCCCGGGGCTCGGGGACTGCCGCCGCCCCGGGGCAGCTGCAGGGCAGCGCCGGGGAGAACCGTTCCCGCCGCAGCACCGGGAGTCTCCACGCGGGGCACTCCCGCTCACATTGTCAAGTCCAGCACGGGCAACCGGGAGGCCCGGGGCCGCCCCGCCCCGCGTCCTTCCCCGGACGACAGTGGGAAGACACCCCTGAATCGACATTTGAAAAAAGAGCGAGAAGAGAAACAGGCGGGAAGCCGTTCAGAGGCGGAGAGAAGGGAAGCACCCTCACGCCCTGCGTCGTGAACCGAGTGGAGCCGGCGGGGGCGGGGCAGGAATCAGCGGACGGCACTCCAGGTTGAACGGTGGAAGTTTATTACTGAACAGTAAGTACACTCAGAGGCTTTCATTGTCTTTGTTACCGCGAACACCCAGGCAGTGAAAACTGTTAGGTTAATACATACATAGACACACCCCGAACATACAAAAATACTATTATTTCAAACTACTAAGAATAGGACAGTTCAGTTACCTCCATGCTATGACTTTACACTAAACAAAGGACAAGTTAACGACATTTTTTTAATATCCCAGAAATATACCAAAATATACATCTAAGCTTTGGAATCACTGAGGTTAGACTAATGCGAGTGCTGGGTAATCGTACTTAACACGCGAGTCTAAGGTTCTGCAGGACAGAAATCATCTTTGGTATTTGCATCAGACTAACGTTACTTATTAACATTTGGATTTTGCTTTGGGATAGAGCTTGTATGACCCTAGAACCAACCCCCCCATCAACCGAGAGTAAAAAGGTCTGTGTAAAAAGCCCCTTCGCTTGCACCCCCCGCCCCCCGGTAAAAAGCCGCAGGCGTCCACCCAGCACAGACGGTCGTGACGACGATGCATAGTTGCACGGTGCAGAGAGGGGACCAGCCACGCGGGGAGATGACAGCTCAGCGGTCGCCTGCCCGCTTCTCACACCCGGGGTGGCCGCCTCCGAGTGTCCCGGGGAGGGACAGGGACAGAAGGGTCCGGGGCCATGGGCGCACGCCCGGCCAGCGCCTAGAGGTTAGCACCCAGCGGGGCGGCCAGGCCTGCGCCGGAGCCCCCAGCCCACCCCTCAACTCTGTGGAGCCCTGGGGCCGCCTCGCCGGCCCTGCCCGTCCCGGGCCCGGCCCTGCCGTGGCCGTGGCAGGTGTGGGTGGACGGCCACGTGGTGGGTTTGTCTGCTGAAATGCCAGTCTGCTCCACGGCGGGTCACGAGTGGGCCGGGGCCCGAGCGCGCACCTCTGCAAACCCGATGGGGAGGGCAGACGCCGGCCGGCCCTGTTGCGCCGCGGGCCAGGACGCCATGGGCCGGGCCGGCACCGGGGACTGCCCTTCTCTTTGGTTTTTGGTTTGTTTTGAGTTTATACAATCATTAAGAAATCTTTGGTTTTGGCTGGAAATTTAAAAAACAAAACAAAACCAAACAAAGAAACCGCCCTCCCTGGCGAACGGCGGCGGCGCTCTCCGACGCGGAGTGGGGGCCGAGGCTGGGCTACATTCAAAGGAAAGGTGGCCGGGCGTGGGGCGCGGCTCCCGGGAGCCATGGACGCGAGATTGTCAACTCATAACGACGACAACAACGACAACTTAAACGTTTGGGTCTCTTTCGGCCACGTCAGAGGGACGACGGGAGACGTGTGTGCGGCGTCGGCGCCCGGGGGCCTCTTTGGTGCGGTCCCTCCCACCCGAGGTCCGAAATGCGGCGGAGCAGGAAGGCGAGGGCGGGAGCCGGTGTGTGGCCAGCGGTCGGGAAGGGGGCATGGCTGGCCAGCCCCCGAAGGCGGTGGGGGCAGCAGGTGTACACCTGTGCAGACCCCCTGCAACGAAGAGGAACGGAAGATTGCAATTTGCCCTCAGTTTGCAGTAGCTTTCAAGCAGCGACATTCAGAGGCGTTGGGAGGGCCCACCCCAGGCCGCAGGTCCCGCGGGGCTACCGGCCAGAGCGCGGCAGGACTCCAGGAGGGAGGGCGGGCTTGGCAGCGCCGCGGGGTTCAGGGGAGGCCGCAGCGAGCCTCCCGGTCACGAGTTGGAATGGGGTTCGCGGCGGCGCTGGGCTGCGGTGGGGAGAGGCCCGCACTCCCTCGCCCAGCCTCTGCCGCCACCACGGCACGGGGGCGGGTGGACTGCCTGCCGGAGGGTGAGGGGCGCACACAGGCCCGTCCCCCAGAGGTAAGGGCTGCGAGGCCGCCCGTCTCCGGCTCGCAGCCCGCGGGGTGCAGGGCACCCCGGAACGAGACAGGGCACCTGGCCCGCCGCAGGCCTGTCCCTCGCTAACGAAACCGCCACCCTCCAGGAGCGCACGGGTTTCCTGCCACGTGGCCCCCCCAGAGGTGCAGGGGCCTGGGGGCACACGGTCCTGCCCACGCCCGGCTCTGCCCTGCCCCTCCGAGGCCCCGGCTGTGCAGAAGCAACACCTCACTCCCAACAGCACCGTGACCGGCCATCTGCCTGCGGGCTTCGGGGCGCACTGTCTGGACTCGGGGTCCCTCAGCAGCACCCCGCTGAGCACAGCGACGCACAAGAAAGCCAGGGGGACATTACAGAAGACCTCGACGTCTCTTCACGGGGACCCGGGTCTGGGGTCCGAGCCCTCTGAGAGCACCGCGCCCCACGTCAGAGCCGGAAGGCGGTGCGGGACGGCCTCAGGGACCCAGAGGGCGGCAGAGGGCACGCGCCCTCTCCGGGCCCAGGGTCTCACTCTGCAACTGAAGTGGTGTCCACTGAGCACGCCGGGTCCCCCCGGCCCCGTTTCCAGTGCTCCTTCCACCCGCCACGCCCCACGGCCCGCCCACGGGTCTGCTCCGGGGTCTGGGGAGTTGCATGGCGTGGACACGCTTCCACGTCACGGACACGCTTCCATGTCGCGAACAGGCCTGTCAGAGAGGCTCCCGTGGAGCCCCCAGCCCCCAGCCCTGCACGAGCACTAGAAGAGCGGCACATGTCCTGCCCCTCTCCCCCCCTCTGGGCCCCAGCAACGGCGCCCGCACAGCGAGCTCCTCGACCCCGGAGCCCGGAACGGCGCCCGGGAGAGCCAAGGGTGGGCGGCCCGTGGTTCCCACGTCGCCCTGCTCTTGAGAATGCTCGTCCCCACGAGCGACGGAACAGAGGTAGTGCGCCAAGATGCCGCCCGGACTCAGCGCCCCCTGCTGCCCCAGCTCCACAAACGCCAGATGAAGGGAAATGAAGACTCCGCCCCCCCCACGACCCCCCACCATGCCGGGAACCACACGGCGCCCTGAGCAGCCCTGCCTGTCCCGCAGACCAGCAGAGGGGATGAAGGACGCTCCTCCAGAGCCGGACGGCCACCAAGGCTCCCTCCGAACTCGGGGAAGGGCGGGGGGGGGACGAGAGGGAAGCAGCTCCAGATGTCAGCTGTCCGCTCCTCACCCGCTGCCGGTCCAGGAAGCGTGCGGACAGGCAAGGACCGGCAGTGTCCGTGGCAGCCACACCGGGCCCCTGGCGTCCCGTGGGCTTCTGCGTCCCTGTGCACACGGCCCTCCGGGGACACACCCGGGGCGCCGAGCTAGCCTGCCTGCAGCTGGGGCCGGGAGTCTCTTCGCTGTCCCTGAACGCGCACCTCCCCGCAGAGAACGGCAGCACACTCCTCGGCCCTCTCACCTCTCACCTCTGGGGGGCGGGAGCAGGTCGGCAGCCACCTCCCGGTCTGGCGTTCTCCGCCTGCGCTTCTGGTGTGGGCAGACGGCCTCGGCACGAGCAGAGGGGAGAGGAGCCCGGGTTCGCGGGGCGGGCTGCGCGCACAGGGTCCAGCGACCGGACGCCGGGCAGGAGAAGGGCCCGCCCCACGCCCCCCCCCCCAGCCCTCCTCTCCGCGCTCGGAGGGGCACGCCCGGCCGCGCCCGGCCGCTCGCACGGGGGCACCTCTGCCCACGTGTCTGCTGCACGGGGTGGGGGGGGGGGCGTGGCTGAGAGCCCTTAGCAGAGGCTGGCAAGGTCAGTCTGGGGGCACAGGCAGGCACAGCGAGGGACACTGACACCCAAGGGCACCCTGCACCCGCTGGGCGACCCGGTCGGGGGGCAGCGCCACCTCCTTCGGCAAGTGAGACACACAACAACAGCCGCCACGGTGACAGCTTCCTCCTCACGTGCTCCCCTCGCCCCCCAACCCTGTGCGCTGCCGCCTGCAGACGGGACCCCAACACACACAGAGCATCAGTCACAACACACACTAGTCACCTAAGCGCTACAGCTAGCGTTACTTCCACTACTTACAAAGTTTCTTCTTCTTATCTATTTGGTTTTGAGTTTAAAACCAGTTCTGCAACGATGCTAACCTATGCTGAGGTATTTCACGGAGGTGCCGGAGCTCACTGCTACCCTCCAGCGCCACCCTCACAGACCAGGGTGCCGCCACCCCGAGAGAGAAGGGGCAAGGGAGGCGAGGAGGCCGGGGCGGTGCGCAGCGGCCGCTCACAAGCCGAGCGGGAGTCTGGGTGTGAAGGGGACAGACGGCTCGGAGAGACAGCCCCGCCCGCGCACGGGCCGTGTCAAACGGCTGCCTGGGGAGCCCGGGGCGCCCTCTGCAGCGTCTCTGGGTGGAGAGAAGGGCGAGGCGGACAGGGCTCGGTCCGCCTCCAGGGGAGAACGGCCCCCCCCACCCCCGGGCCTGGAGCACGCCGCCCTCCCGACGGCCACGGAGGCCTGTGCTCCTTCTCGGAAGCAAGGTGAGTGAGCACTAGGGAAGGTGGACCATTCCACAAAGTGTTGTCCTCAAGTGTCCTAAGACTGAAAATGACTTCAGCGTGGCCAGGGCTATCAGCCACGCCACACACTGAACGCTTTTCACACACACACACACACACACACACACACAAGTGAATGCACAATGGTCACGACCAGACTGACCGTCCTCCCTCGCCACAGTAACTCCAGAGCTTGGGTCTTTGGTCTGCTCCCCCTCTCGGCTCGACCGCCCGTGGCCGGGAGGCACGGCGCCCGAAGCGCCCATCCTTGCACTGACCGAACGGAGCGCGCCCGCCAGGGCCTCGCGCACCGCGTCCCCGGGGAGGCCCTTCCGCAGCCCGCGCCCCCCCCAACCTGCCCTTCCCCTCGCCCCGCCCCCCCCCGGCCCAGCGCTCTCCCTGCCCCCCTGGCGAGGAAGGCTCTGCGAGGGGGCTGTGGCCTGGGGACAACGCCGCACTCAGGCCGCGTGCGACGCGTTTCCTCGGGAACCCCGTGGCTGTCACTCACTAGTGGCCGTGTTTGCTGTCGGCATGCACAGCTCCGGAAGTCCACATTAATGTCCCACACTTGCAAATGTAGCCAGCTTTCCCAGCAACTTAAATAGAAAACTTAATGTTAAAGACGGGGCTGAATTTAAATGTTGTGTCAAGCAAACATCTGTGCTTCTGGGTGATCTGGACAAGGTTTTCTCTGCCTTCACAAGTGAAGGGCGGAAAATAGGGCAAAATAATATTTTTTTAAAAAGAGGTATAATTGTGCTTCTTCCCCCAACAATGAATTATGCAGAACCAACTGGCAAGACAATCTCACGGAGAGTTTTAAATTAACCTCCTTTTCCCTTTACAGAAGGACCTGCGATCTCTCGCAGCGCCGCCACGGAGTGCGCACGGGGGCGGCCCGCACGCAGGGCAGCGGGCCCCTGGGCGCCGCCCGCTGACCGTGAGCTGCGCCAGCGGGGCCGGGACTGAGCGTCCTCGCGCAGGGAGTGCAGGGAGTGTGCGAGACACAGACGGGCGTGCACAGCCTCGGGGGCCCCTCCCGCGGGGCCACGCTGGCGCACACACGGCGCTCGGCTCGTTTCCGCGGCCAGGAGCCCGGCCGGGGTCCCTGGGCCTGGCCCTTCCGCTCAGAGCTGCACGGGGCCAGCCACAGCTCTCGACCAAACGCACCGCCGGGAGCGGCCGGAGTGGACAGTCCGCTCACCACGCCCCAGGGAGGGCCCGGCCCCACGGGCCAGAGCAGGGCCGTGACGTGCGCACCGGGTTTAGTCTTTGGTTTAACACACTAAGCGAACCCAGGGGTGAGGCGGAGCCGGCACAGACACGGGGGACCGGAGACGGACGTGCGGGACCGCGATGGCCCATCTGCCCTTCCTCCCAGAAGCACAAGGACTCGGACCCACACCTCTTTTTGGTCAGATGCCCCCCGTACTTCCCCCACGCCCCCACGAGGTGTCTGACGGCTGCGTCGGAGCAGCTGGCTCCGGAGGATCGCTCCAGGCGCAACGCTCCTGGAGACCGAGGCGGCCGTCCGCTTTAAGCTAGCGGCCAGCAACAAGCTGTGTCAGTGTTCCACACGGACGGACGGATGGACGTGTGTAAGTGGATCTTTCACCTCGCAGCTTGTTTTTAAATAACGGGGAAAACTCAGTTAGCTTTGTCTAAGGATTTACTTCTTTTAAACGCAGGTTTCCAAGCTGGTTTCAGGCCCGTGGATCCTCACGGGGGGTCCCTGGCAGAACCCCTTCTCCCACACCGACTGGAGGGGTGGGCAGGGCCGGGGACAGAGGCCACCGCCCCACGGCTGGAGCTGGGCGTCCGCGGGAACGCTCCAGCGGCTCAGGAGTCACAGCTGGGGTGACCTCCGGGCCCCGCAGGGAACCAGTCCAACGCAGCCTGTCCTCGCCTCCCCCCTCAGCCTTTGGGCCCGAGCCCCTCGGGACTCCACGCTTCCTTTGGTAGCCACTTCGGGAAATTAATGCTATCGCCTCTAACCCAGTGTGGGGGCACCCGCACCCCCTCCCTGAACGCTGCCTCCGAGCCTGCCCCCCCCCGGGAGGCCCCCCCCCAGGCAGCGGCAGGAGGACCGACAGCCCGACAACCGTGCGCACAGACCGAGCGAGAGGCGCGGGGCCAGGAGAAGGGGCCGCCCTGGACCAGACCGCGTCGGAGGGCGGCAGGCGAGGGGGGAGTGTGTCACCGGCACCGCCGCTCTGCTCACACGCCGCACGGACGGAGCCAGCGAGAACGCAGGTTCACGCCTGCCCAGAGGATGGGACGATTCACCAACATAAAAGATTAAAAGAAGCAGCAACTTTTACATAAAATTAATAAAGACAATGAAAAAGAAATTGTCAGTAGCATCTAACTCCTCCATGGGTCTGAACCGCGCGACACGAACTAGTCCATCAGTACAGCAGCTTGCTAGAAATCGACTTTGGTTCAAGCTTAGTTTAAAAAACACAACGTAAAGACACACCACACATCGAGAAGGCGGACGGACGGACGGACGTCTGCTGGTCCCCGCTTGCGGGCTGCTGACTCGGGGAGGGCGGGGGGCGGGGGGAGGAAGGCGCCGGGGGTGGGAGGTAAATACTTGGTGAAGCACACGACGACGACGACGACGACGACGACGACGGGAAGACGGAGCAACGACGAGAACGGGGGTGGGATGGACGCAAGTGTTTCTGGCCCCCGAGCTTCGGCCACCCCCGCCGGCCGAGCACACACGCAGGGACACCCGCCGCGGAGACCGGAGCGCGCAGACCCGGGGCCCCCACTGCAGCCTGCGGCCCGTGGCTGGCGAGGGGGCCGTGCAGGCCGGGCCTCGCCCGAGTGGGACGGGCGCAGGAGCGCAGGGCAGCGGCCGAGCCCTGACACTGCCGCTGTGACAGGACAGGGCGGGAAGGGGACCCGGTTCACCTGCCGCGCGACCTCCTCCTCTGCTCGGGCTCAGTTACACGTCCAGAAACGCCCGCAAACGGTGCCCGGAGCTCGCCGCCCCACCCGCCCCGCCCGCCCCGAGATGCTACTGACGTTACACCCGCCTCACAGGGCGTCGTCGCTGACCGGCCCAGGCGACCCCCACGGGGGCCTCGAGTTCCCGCTCAGAGCCCGGCAGAGGCTCTGAGGCCCACGGCGGCCAGCACGTGCCCGGTCCATCGGAGGACAAGGATGGTCTCGGGGACAGATCTACAAGCCCCCTGGGGAAAAGAGAGTCGGTGGCCAGAGGAGGAGGTGGCAGCGACCTCGGATCCTGCTCACCGGCTCCTCTGGAGGCCAGCCACCGGGGGAGGACAGTCCAGTGGGGGAGGACAGCCCAGCGGGGGACGACAGCCCAGCGGGGGACGACAGCCCAGTGGAGGAGGACAGCCCAGTGGGGCTCCTTCAGAAAACGGAGGAGGAGGAGGGAGCGCGCCCCGGTCTCGGCTGGGCAGGCCAGAGAAGCCCGGACGCTGCCCCCCGCCCCCCGCGACACAGACACACACACAGCAACAGCAGGAGCACTTCTCAGGAGACGGGGAGTCGGGAGAGCCACCGGTCAGGTGTCTGCAGTAGTCTTTGCCCTCGGGGCCGCGCCCGCCCGCGCCACGTGCGCCCCGTGGGAGGCGGGAGCGGCGCCGGTGCACCCGGGGCCCCGGCCTGGGGTCCTTCAAGGTCCGAGAGAGAGCCACAGTCCGGCGGGCGCCCCCCCACACAGACTGCTCCGAAGGCACCGCCTGGCGGGCGCGAGGGGAGTGGGCGCCCGCACACACGGCCCTCGGCCCCCGCCCGAGCCTCTCGCGTAAGTGGCAAAAGAGAGTAACTTCCCAGGGCCCCTGTGAGAGTCGTCGGGCGGGGGGAGACCAGCAAGAACATTCCGCAGCTGAGAACGCAAGTCCCCCCGGCCCCAGAGCCCCCCACAGCGTGGGGGCTCGCTGACACAGGATCCAGGAGCGAGAGACGAACACGTCCAAACTATATATATATAAAAACCACAACAGTAATAACAGAGATACAGTAACACAGGCCTGCCTAAGTTGTACCAGTTAAGAAAGGAACCCCCAACACAGTCGATACTATTATAAACACCTTGTTAGGACTGAACGGCCTATACAACAGACCCATAAAAATGATTTTTTTAAGAAAAAAAAAAAGGAACTTAGACAAACAAGAACCCCTCCTCCACTGGAATGGCAACCCACCTTCACTGCCGTGCTGACTGCTGGAAACGGTAAGTAGTGAGTAGTCCTTTCACTTATTTTTGTTTTTGATTTTTTTGTTTCTGCTTTTTTTTTAAATTTTTGTTAGAAAGTTCTCCAATCCATGAAGCAATCCTGAAAAGACAGTGTTTTATTACAAAATTAGGCAAACGCCGTCCGGGCTCCGGCCCTTCGCTCCAGCACGTGTCTCCGCTCCGCTCCTCTCCTCCCCCCCGAGGCGGGAGGGAGCGGCCGCCCCCGCGGCCCGCCCGGCCCGGCGGCTGCCCGGCCGCACTGCCCTGCGTGTGGAGGAGGCGCAGCAGCGCTCACTGCGCCTTGGAGGCGGTGGTGGTGGTGGAGGCGGCCCCGCCGGCGGAGGCCGCCGTGAAGAGCGAGTTCGGGAGGGGCTCAGCGGAGGTGGAGGCGGCGTGGAGGCTGGCGGCGGGCCCCGAGCCCCCCGCGGCGGCGGCGGTGGCAGCAGAGACCAGGCTGACCGGGTTGCTGGTGAGCAGAGAGAGGTTCTGGGGGTTCAGGAACAGAGGGGCGGTCACGATGTTGGGGGCTCCTCCTGCGTTGGCGAAGACCAGGTTCCCAGTCGCGTCCAGCGATGTTATCGGGAGGGAGCCGCCAGACGCCAGAGCTGCAGACAGACCCCCGCGGGCGGGAGCGTGGGTCAGCACCACCCCGAGAGGCTGAGGGCGCCCCCAGCGGCCGAACTCCCCCACACTCGGCCCGGCCGGACAAGGGCAGCCCCCGCTGACCGTTGGCCCGAGCCAGAGTGCTGTCGTGTCACCGACTGAAGTCCTGTCTGAGCTTCGAGAGCCGGAGAACTGACCAGTCCAGTGACCATGAGCTGGACGTGGACGGGGGACTGTCTCATCCGTCAGGGTCACATGTGTGTCAGAGGGCGTCACCTGACGTTGCCCACCCAGAAGCACCTGGTGAGTCCAGTCCCTTCTGTCGCGCAGGTGGCCGACCCCCGCCCCCCCACCGCAAACCGGCCCCAGGGAGGGGAGCACTGACACCCGCTGGGCAGCCTTCCCGACCCGCCGGCACCGCGAGGGGTGTGCGCACTTCCTGGTTCTACACACAAGGTCAAAAACCATCTTTCAACAGGTTTTGGTTTTAAAATAGGTTACATGTTACCGGTCAAGGGCACCGTGTGACCGAGCTCTCCCAGCCCGAGGCACACCGCCGGCCGCCCCGCCCGCACAGAGCCCGGAGCGTGGGCGGAGCGCCGGGGGCTGCAGTGGGGGGGCCGCAGCGGGGGGGGGGGTGGCAGGGGCCGTGGCACGCATCTCAGGGAGGACTTGCTCTGGGACTGAGAACCGTCTGGGACGACGGCATCAGCGAGACTCTTTAAAGTGACAGATGCTCTTATTCCTTAGGTTTTCTTGTTACGTGACAACCCCCGAAAGTCTCCCGGACCCATAAAACCGTGGAGATCTGAAGGCTTCTCCCGGCTTTAAAAATCCGGTTTCCTACGTATGTAACGCACGAAGGAAGCCAGAGAGACTGAGGGGTCCCTGACGCAGCCGCCATGGCGTGCAGCGTCCACAGCGGCAAGGCTGGTGCGTCTGGGTGTTGTCCGAGACCCCATGCTGAGGGCCACAGACCGGTCCGCGGTCTGCCTGTGGGGCCTGCTCCCCGCCCTGCGGAGGCAGGGAGCCCCCCGCCTCCGGCGCACCGCCACAGCCTGCAAGTGCCCTGCTGCGCGAGAACAGGGGTCTCTCACGGACCTGAGCCAACGAGAGCCCCCGACTCTCAGAAGCGTGCGGGCCTCACTCCCACCCCGCGCCGTCCGGCCCGCGTCCGGCTCGCCGGTGGCTGACGCCGTCTGCAGCGTGCTTGCCGCAGACCAGCGCCCCGCCGCACCGGCCTTCCCTGACCTCAGCTGACAGCCCACCTTTCGCCCCGAGAGCTCTCACTCAAGCACAGACCATCTTAACCCCGAGGAGAAAGCACCCTCTGATTGACACCAGGAAGCCTCTCACAGAGCTTCCTGGGACCGCGTCACGGCACGCGTGCTCGGGCACAAGCCCTGCGGGCCGGGCCAGGGGTTCGGGCACGCTCGAGACGGGGCCACACGCCAGGGCCCGTGGACACGGGAACACATCACAGTCCAAGGGCGCGCATGCTCCGAAACGCCGGGGCTCCCGGGAGGCCACCTCCTCGGGTGCGGCTCTCCGCGGGTGGAGGTGAGGGCGGGGCTCCACCTGGTCCAGTCTGCCCGGGGTGGGCCTGGGTGAACCTCTGGGGGAAGGGCTGCCCCCGGTCTACGCCCCCGAGACGACGAGGACCAGCATGGAGGCCCTCGCTTCTCACCGCACGCCGAACACTGCGTCTCCCGTCTGGGCTCCCACACCGGCACCCCCGTCTCCCACCGCCGGTTTACAGGGGCACCTTCGCGGGCCCCGCGTCAGTCCGCCAGCCCACTTCCACCCCCCGCCCCCGCGGTGACCCCCGCAGAAGAGCCGTACTGACCTTGAATAGTCGCCAGTGTGCTGTTGCTCATCAGAGCCGGGCTGAGCGCGCCGCCCAGGGTCCCTGGGTTGAGGCTGAGTAAGGCACCTCTGCAGGCGGGAGGGGCAGAGGGCTGTCAGCATGGCCACGCCGCACCGTGGGGCGCGGGGGCGGCCAGAGGGCTGGGGGTCAGGAGGGGCGGGGCTCATCTGCCGCCCCCACGACACGGAGCACCCAAAGCGAACAACCCATGGCCCAGGGTCACCTCTCAGTCCCTCTGACCCTCCTTTGCAGCATCTCATTCTCTTCTTCCAAAACAACAGAAAACGCCAAAGAAGAGAACATGTTTGCAGAGCAGTTCTTGACGTCTGACACTGTGAACGTGGGAACCTACTGCATCAGCCCCTCCGTCTGGGGAGAATCGGGCCGCCAGCTGAGCAGGCAGCTCCCAGGAACAAGCGGGGAGCTCGGGCTCTGTCCCTGGCCTCACCCCCGGGCAGGCCAGTGCCTGCTGCCCTCTCAGCTCCGCGTCCACAGGAATCAGAGCCCCTGGGCCGCCACGGAGTAAGTGGCCCGCTGCAGAGAGCTCAAGGCGGGAAGCCCCCGCCCCCCAGGGGCCTCTCAGGCGCAGCAGCAGGGGCGAGGCCCTTACCCAGCTGCGAACTGTGACGGGGCCATGAGGCCCGGGCTCAGCCCCGCGGCGGCGGCCATGGCGGCGAGGCTGGCGTTGGCCGGCAGCTGCGTGGCTCCGGGCAGGGCGGTGGCCGTGGCTGTCTGGAGCCCTGCCGCCGTCACCGTCACCTGGCCCGTCCCAAGTGCAGAGGGCAGAGGGGTGGAGGCGGTCTGTGTCGTGCTGGTCTCACCGGCGCTGGAGGCCTCAGAGGCTGAGGCGGAGGCAGACGGGGAGGGGCTCAGGCAGGGGGGCGAGACGGCGGGGGCGGCCGCGGGGGCGGTGGAAATCACGGTCGCAGTCGCTGTGCTGTTGGCGGAGGCGTCGGTGGTGCCTGCAGAGACGGCCAGGTCAGTTCCGCGCAGCCCCTTCTGCGGCCCTGGCCAGCGCCGCTCCGGCAGCGACCCGGGAAAGCGCTCCAGGACCACGGCTCGGGAAAGAGCGCACACAGACAGACAGACGGAGCGCCGGGCAGCTGGACGAAGGGAGCCGACACGCCCGTGTGTGGGCGTGCCCACGCCGTCCTGCTGGGAGGCCTTACGATGGGCCCCCGCCTCCGGGCCCAGGACCGGCACCGCTCGGGCCCGTCAGGAACCCGGCCACGCAGCAGGAGGCGAACTTGAGTGGAATGTGTGTGAATCATTCGGAAACCACCCCCTGCCCGCAGGTCCATGGGAAAGCGTCTTCCACAGAACCGGTCCCTGGTGCCAAAAAGGGCGGGGACCGCGGCATCGGCGAGTGTGTCCAACGCCCACAGCTTGGCCTCGAAGCGCCCCTCCTCACCAAGAACTCGGAGCTCTCGGACAAACGTGAAGGTGAGCCTGAACGTCTCGTGCCAGAGAGAAGCCACTCCAAGGGGGACAGGGACGTGCTACAGGGCACAGGAGCCCGCGGAAGGGACTCCCACCGGGCGAGGCTGGGACAGTTCCCACACCGAAACAAAGGGGCACCACTCCAACCTGCGGGGTGTACAAGGGTGTCCAGGTCTGTCCTGACAGAGAGAAATGGGGGGTCCGTCTTCAAATGGAATGGTGGAATAAAAACATTTGTTCCCTTTTTAGGTCGTGGTTGGGTCACGGGGCCCAAGAGGCGTGATGAAGTGAAGCGTGGTGCAGACTCAAACCCCACCGCGGCGCAGGGGCACACGACCCGCCAGAGGCGAGGGCCTGCAGAACACCCTTTGCATCGCGCATCCTTAGAAAGCTGTTTCTCAGGACGGCGCTGTTAGTTTTAAATGTATTTGGGAAATCTGCTATTTACAAGGAGGCCACAGGGGAAAAAATTATTTGTCTATTTTATAGTGAGTGTGTCAAGCACTAAGCAAGACACAGAGATTTTTAAAAAACCCAGACCTTCTGCAAAGTGCAAAGTCTACTACTGGCGAAGACAGAATAAGTTGTGAAACCATAACCACTCATGACACCGGTGGGGGGGCGCGCGGGGAGGCTGGTGGAAGCCAGGGCACCCCCTGGGGGACCTCCCCGGGGAGGCGGAGGGGGAGTGGGCGTTGTCCTGGGTGCAAAAAGCTGCAGTGAGTCCAGGTTTCTAAGAGGAGCTACTTGAAAAGAAGGGGGGGGGTTCTGAAAGGTAACTGTGGGAGTAATGCAGAAGACAAAATAAAGTGAGAAAGAACAAAAAAGATGATGTTTTTATGTGAAACTACTATTTCTGACAAAATTAGCTGCACCCGATTTTTCTGGAGTTCAGGGTTGCACGTGTAACTCGAAAAAAAGAAGCCCTTCAGAGGCGTGTCACCGCGCCGCGGCAGTCTCACGGGTGCCTCTCGGGCCGCCACCCGCCCGAGCACCGCCGCCCAGCCGCCGCACGCCTGGGCCGGAGAGGCCGTTGCCTGGGCCGGAGAGGCCATTACCTGGGCCGGAGAGGCTGGTCACCGCAGCGCTGGTCAGAGGGAGCACGGGGTTCACGGCGAGGGTGGTGGCCGCACTGCTGGTCACAAGGCTTGGCGTGGTCGCCACCTAGAGGTGAGAGATGGAAATACGCAAAGCATTTAAAAATGAAAACCATTTTTTATGTCCATATTGTAGACTTACTTTGCCTATAAACACTTTTAAAAACTGGCAATATGTTGAGAGGTCGCTTCCCTGATGGCACACGGCTTTGCCAGGTTTTAGGAAGAAACAATTTAAAAATCTCTCAATTTTAATACTGCTGACGCCAGTGTAACCTAAGCCAGTAAGAAATGTTATTGTCACCTTAACCTAAACAAGGGAACTAGTCTGCAGACCAGCGAATCTCAGCTCCTTGTTTTGTTTCATTTTGGACTCGGGGGTGGGGGCAAGACCGCCCCTCTTTTGGGTCTTGATGAAATGACGGTATGGAGCAAACGTGAAACGACTTGTTAAAACCTGACGTCTCTCTCCGAAGTAGCACGAAGTGTTTCTACCGGGTGGGGAGAGACGCCGTCCTCGCTCCAGCACAGACGAGCCCCAAACGCACCGCACGAGCGAGGCGGCGCCTGCAGCCCCGGCCCCTCACAGCCACCTCAGCTGCCCGGCGGCCGCCACCTACCCTCTGGCCCCCGTGCGCTCGCGCTGGGACCCGTGTCTGAAAAGCCTCCCACTGCAGAGTGACACGCACACGAGAAAAAGCCAGAGCACACGGAGGGGTCAGGGACGTGCCCTCGGAGCCCCCACTGCTGGCGACTTGGTCCGAAGTGTGGAGTCACCTTCATGTCACCCTAAAGGCCAAGGGCGTCACACGGGCACCCCATGTCCCTTCGGTCCGGGAAGATGGCCCTAAGATTCTGAACAGTGAGGCCCTAAATGCAAGGCCAGGGGTCCGAGAGAGAAGGCCCGAGGGGGCTTCAACCCCAGTGCAGAGCTCTCCCTGGACGGAGGCCCCCGGGCACTGACCATCCCTCCGTCGGGCGAGTGTGAGTCACCGTGCTGGGCGTCAGAACGCAGCCCGAGCCCAGAGCAACGGGCGGTCTCCCGGACCGCGACCAGCAGCAGCAAGCGTCCGCAGTGGGAGCGACCTGGCGAGCTACACCGGAGAAGGGAGCCACGGAACGCCCGAGGAACGGGGCAGCACTGAGCCTGTCCCCCCGGGAAGCACAGATCGCCGAGTGCTTGGTCGGACAGCGTGAGGCTCCGCTGCTGGGCTGACACCTAAAACACCGACGCACACACGCCCCCGCGGCACGGAGAGAGGCACCACGCGCTCTGTGACGGACCCCACGGAGCGGCAGGCCACCCGTGGGACCGAGAACGCGCCCGCGCCCCGCTCACCAGTGAGGTCGGGCTGGGGAAAACCGCCTTGATGGGCGAGCTGCTGGCCCCGCCGCTGCTGGGCGGGTTGATCCGCTTCTCCTTCTGGCGGCGGTTGCAGAACCACACGCGGATCACCTCCTTCTCCATGTTGAGCTGCTCAGCGATCATGGTGATCTCCTCCGAGGTAGGCTTCTGGTTCTGCAAAGGAAGGCCCCTCTGGACTCGCCCTGCGAGCCCCCGGCCAGGCCCCGCCACCCGGCCCCCAGTGGACGAACACGTGTTCACTGTGGTTGCTCCCGGCAATCAGAGGAAGCTGTTCTTGAACACGTGCACTTCTTCCTTTTAAGGGCGGTCAATCTCGACTACAGTGAACGGCCCCTACAGCCTGCTGTGTCGGCAGGAGGCCGAGGGCTTTCTCAGGCCTAGTGCCGCGGCCTCGGCTGGGCCACGGCAGGCAGGTGGGCAGCCTGGGGTGTGACCGGCGGTGTCTCCCAGGGAGAGGGGCCGCAGCCTGAGGACTCGGGGGCTGGCCAGTGGCACACACCACAGACTCCTGACTCGGCGCTCCTCCCCTGCGCTCAAGCCTCTCAGGACCAGAGTCAAAACTGTGCTGGCAACTTTGGCTGCGCTCCCTGGCATAAAAAAAGCCAATGTCTGCGGAATTGGCTTGAGCGACAGCCTGACGTCCAAGGTCCTCGGGAATCTGGCCCCAAAGTGCCGTGGTAAACACAGGCACCGGAACGTGGCCAGACAGGGCCACCGCGCTCGCCCCGGGAACCTCTGCGCTCTCGCCGCCTGTCCTGGGAGCGCCTGCGTGCCCGGCGGCGGCCCCTGTCACACGGAGGGCCCCAGGGATGCGAGCCTGCTCCCTCCTGAGCCCGGGGTACCCCCGTCCTATCGGCGTGTCTCCTTTCCCCCAGCAGCCCACGCGCGCCAGGGCTGGGGCGGGCAGCGCCAGCGCTGAGCCACACTGACAGTCCCACGCCCTCGAGAAGGGGAGCCCCCGCTGACCTCCAGGAAACTCTTCTCTAAGGCCACACGGATGTTGGTCTCTATGCTGGTGCGTTTCTTCCTCCGGCGGTTCAAGCCCTCGATCCCCTGCCCCGGAGAACTCAGGGCGCTGGGGCTGGAGAGGGCGGAATCGGACGAGAGGTTCTCTGGGAGAAGGCAGAGGAGGGCGGTCGGGGGCTGAGCGCACGCCTCACGCGTGTCACACTCGCGCCGGCCGGCGACAACGGAGCTGAGCCGGCGAGTCCAGCTGCGGGCGGGCGGGCAAGGGCGCCCACGGCCTGCCAGAAAACCCAGCTGCGCCCAGGTCCCTCTGCCGCTCTGGCAGGCGCCTGCCCCCCGGGAAGGCAGGACGGACCCTCTCTGCTCTGCGACTCGGCTCGACCTCTGCTGAGTTCTGCTCTCCTGTTTCAGTTTCGCGTGCTTATTTATTTATACTTACTTATTTATTAGCTCTAGAGATCAAAGAAAGCTTGTGGGAAATTACTGAACATTTACTATTTATCTTGCCAATGACCCCTCACTTTATTAGTCAAATCTAAGCATCACCTCTCTAAAAACCAACCAATGAAACACTCCCGAACCCCTGGAAGCTGGAGCCAGGCTCGGTCGCGCAGTAGTAGAGCGGCTCTGGGCCTCTCGGCGCCGGCTCTGGGCGGCCTTCCGCTCCATGGGAGTGGGAGGAGGGCAGAGCGGCGCTCTCACCAGGGAGCTCAGTGAGGTCTCAGAGCCACGGACCCAGACTGTCCCTGCGTGGGGGCTACATGGATGTCTTTTCCAAACACCTGGTTGCGTCCAGAGCTACATGAGAGTCAGCATCTGGGGTTTCCATGCTTCCTGACAGTGCTCACAGCCTGTGACTCTGTGCCTCACACTCCAGAGTTTCCAAAGAGAAACCTCAGCACAAAACACGCAAGTTAAAACCAGCCCTGGCAAATGTGGCTCAGTGGTTTGAGTGCCAGCTTGAGAATCAAAGGGTTCCTGGTTCGATTCCCAGTCACGCCACAGGCCTGGGTTGCGGGCCAGGGCCCCAGGTGGGGGCGCACAACAGACAACCGCACATTGATGTTTCCCTCTCTTTCTCCCTCCCTTCCGCTCTAAGAATGAATAAATAAAATCTTAAAGAAACAAAAAAACTAGCTACTCAACTTCATATGCATGAAATATGTGGTCGTTTTTAGTAACAAGCAGAAATATCCTCAAGAACACATTTATTGTAGTTCATTGAGGAAAAACCCATAAACTCGTTTTCCAAGTTTATCTAAGTGCACAGGCCTCCTCCCCTCCACGTCCCGCCACCCACAAGCCCGGCTCACCCACGAGCACTGCTCTGAGGCTGGGCACAGTTGGCGACCGCGGGCACTGCAACCACTGCACAAACGGATCTGCGCTCCGATTTACGGAGTGTCGCTGACACAGTCTCCCTGGGACAAAGACGCCCCCCCCCCGCCCCCGGACGGCGGGGCCGCGCCTCACCTGCGTCATTGAGCCACTTCTCCAGGAGGGGCTTCAACTTGCACATGTTCTTAAAGCTGAGGTTCAAGGCTTCGAAGCGAGAGATGGTGGTCTGGCTGAAGTCGTTCCCGTACAGCTTGCCCATCGCGAGCCCAACGTCGCCCTGCACGGGAACACAGAGCGGAGATGGGGGGGGGCACGGGAGGAGGGGTCGGCTCACCGGCGCCGAGGCCTTCCCTCTGCAGCGCCCCTCCGGACGGGGACCCCCGCTGACCCCTCTGCGGGCTCCCTCAGCGACACCCGCCCCTGAGCGGCTCACCGCAGCCAGGGAGGACGTCAGCCCCGATCCTAACGACAATCAAAACTGCCCCAGACTCTCTCCAGGTTGAATCTCCTCTCGCCACCTCATGCGACAGCCAAGATGATCAAATATTTGTGCTAAGTCTCCAAAGGCGGTGCTGATGTTCTAACAAGCTCCTTAACTGATGTAACCGATGTGACTTAGTAATCTGTAAACTCAGTTTACCTGTCTCACCTGCAGGGTTAACAGACAAAACTGCCTACATAACTTCAGATGTTTCTGCACTGACCAAACTTCCCATAAATCACTTTAAAATCTAGAAATGATGCCTAGTTCTTTTTTTCCCCTGTAAAGTATTTCTGGGAGCATTGAAAAAATCTATTTTCCACCCTTAGTTTGGATTTCAAAGTTGGTTACAAAAAACAGGTATTCTAAAAGACTACTTTTATAACTGTTATGGAGATAGAAATTCACAGTAGAGAAGTTTGACCCATTTAGTCAGACCCTCACGGGCACGGAAACTCAGTCACCTCACAGCACCAGAACAATGGTACCCTGAATACATTACAAAGATGCCTTTCTCCATAAGCCTATAACCTTTGAATGTACACAGTGCTTTTCTTCCAGCCGAATCTCTCGTTAAAGCTGGAAAAAGCCACATCTTCATGGTTATTTTTTGCACAGGTAACAGAAGCTCCTGGAGTTTAAACGAGCCACCCTCTTGCTTCCACCAGGTCTGTGACAGGTCAGTGACAGGTCAGAAGGTGGTGTCTCCGGCCCAGAGCGCCGCGGTGCCGACTCCGCTGCGGGACAGCCCTCCCGGAGGTACCGCCAGCTCTCACTGTGACGGGGCTGTCCCCGGCCCCTGGTTCCCCGAAAGCCGTCTTTTGGACACTACACGGCATATTAGCGCCTGTGCTAGGTGGTAGTCAGGGAAAGGAAAGGACATCTTAACTCCACTTCCTTACTGGGAAGCAACTTCTGACAGAGAGTTTACCAGAGGAGAACCGGTGGAACCGAGCACACCAGACCCTCCCCTGATCTACGGCCGGGCCTTCCCGCAGGACGGCCCCGGCCACAGGCGGCTGTTTGCACAGCAAGTGCCTCGTGGACAGCGGCCGTCCTGCGGACGACAGACCCGTGGGACGGGCGGCCCCCGCTCCCACTGGCACGCGCGGCTCCCTGGCGGCTGCCGGCACGCGGGCTCTGGGGCAGAGGCGGGCGCTCGGGGGTTCCGTCCGTCCGGTTATGGAGAGGCCGCAGGGGCCAGGAGAGTGGGCGGGGCATGAACGCACCAGCTCCCTCCAGGCACCGAGTGCCTGGGCGCGGACTCGTCGTCGGCGAGTGTGCGCTGGTGCCCACCCTGCGCCGGCTCCGGACCACGCGCGTGCCCCACAGACAGCCGTGTCTCGTCCCTCTGTTGCCGCTGGAGCCTCTGGAACACGGGGTCAGCCCGACCCCGCAGCTCCCCAGCACCAGGCCTGCTCTAGCACCGGGGACGGCCAGGCACGTCTCGGACGCCGCAGCCCACCTTCCCAGCTCACTGAGAATTTCCCACAAACGCCTAGAATGTCTTTCCACGACAGCAACGGCACTGACAAGCCAACGGGAGCTAAAGGGCCTGTTCAAAACTCCCAGCGTAGTGAGAACAGACAAGCCTTAAGCTGGTGGCCATGCCATCAACTAAGTAAAACCGTGGTGACGAATGACCACTCCACCTGCACCCGTCTCACTGCACGTTCAGATCACTCAGCTGAACAAGCAGGCAGTGGGGAGGGGCGTGGGGTCGCCCACACTCCGGAGCCCCCCACCCCCGCCCGCAGCAGCAGCATCAGCAGCAGCAGCGTGTGAGCGGCCGGCCCACACCTACTTGGAACTACGTCGTATGCGCTGATGTGCTCTAAGCAGCAAAAGGAAAAGGGACGGAAGACCAGGGCTGGCCAACGAGGAGGGGTCCCATGGGCCACAGCGTCGCCGGGGGCCTCCGGAGCAGGCGATGGCGCCCACAGCGGCCCTTCTGTGGCCAGCGGCGGGGCAGCCAGAAAACACCCAGCAACCTGGGCGTTTACTCAGGGAATAGGGACTTCCTGTTTCCCCTAGTAACGTGCACGCTGCGTGTCCCCCTAGTAACGTGCACGCTGCGTGTGCCCCAGTCCACACGCGCAGAGCCCGAGAAACAGCCGCGGCGGTGGCGAAGCCCTCTCAGAAGGGTGGCCGGTCCTGCTGAGCCACAGGACAAAACCAGGGAGCAGAACACCAGCCCACAGGGAAGCGCTCTCACGAGAGACGGACGGACGGACACAACGCTGGCCATGCGCTGGGTCAGGCACCGCAGGAAGGCAGACAGACCACTACCGGGGAAACGAGCAGGAGTTTTAAAAGCCTTAACTCCCTGAGCACATCGCTCGGCAACAGTCTCCTAGGGAACGCGCGGGCACGCTGTGCTAACAGCTTCGCCCGAGCACAGAGAACCTCGCCGACCCGCCACTTAACTTAAGCTCATGGACAGGAGCCGACCCGTCTCGCTGTGTCTTCGCTCTCCTTTTGAGAATGAGCCAGATTGTTAGATGCTTCAATCTTCCTCAACTGTAATTTGTTTTTTCATAGCTGAAATGCCTCACAAATATATAACTGCACTCTATCTAAAATTATATCTATTTAAAAAATCATTTTATGTTCCTAATATGTAATTCGTTCCTTTGAGCAAAAATAAACTACCTAAGAAACAGGAGGAATAAAGAGCCTGTTCCCAGCAACAGCCAGCGCACGTCCGGGAGGGCAGCCCTGGTTCCCGACGCCCCGGCGGGCGCGCCCCCGCACCGCAGCACGGAGCGGGTGGGGCGGCGTTCAGGGGCGGCTAAGTCTCCGAGGCACACTTCGGTCGTTTTTTCGCCTGCTGATCTTCTATCGTCTTATGTAAATACTCGGTTTACTTCTGTCCCGCCTCAGAAGTACTATTTGTGACAGGTTAACCAACGAGCGATTGAGTCAGTGGTGGGACTGTGCACGGAGACTCCTGTTTAAATCACTTTGAACACCCTCTGTTAAATGGCATTAACAAAGTTAATTTGGGCTTTTCATCTCCGGATTCTCATGCCAGTAATCAGTGTCCATTTGGGCTTACTGTGTGCACGTGTCTGCCTGTGTGCGTGTGCGTCTCCGCCCACCCCCCCTCCGCCCCCACGCGAGACCCCGCCCCCTGGGGGGCCTCTCGGCCTCAGCCGCACGCAGTGAGGTCAGAACCGCACGTCCCTGAGGGACGGAGCCCTCGGCAGGGTCACGTCGACCCCTGACGGAGCCTTCCCAACCCGCACCGACTTGCTGGTGGTACAGGGTGACTTCAGAGGCCCGCGTTCCGAGAGAGATGGAAAAGGCTTTAACCTAACTTGAGCCGCAGACCTGCAGCCAAGCGGACCCGCTGTCCTGTTTGCAGGCGTGCAGGAGGAAATCTCAGCCCGCCAGACACGCGGGGCCGAGGAGGGCAACCCGAGTTGAGGGTGGGCTCGTCCTACCTGAGTGAATCCCAGTTTGATTCGTCTTTGCTTGAAGGTCTTGGCAAACTGCTCGAGCTCCTCAAGGTCACTGGGCTCCTCCAAGCTGGGAGTGTCGATGCGCTTTGGTGTCGCCTGGCTCTGTGGAAGTGTCTGAATCGGAGTCGCGGCTATTGTGCGTGTCGGGGTTGCTGGCTGTTGGGGGGGGGGGATGTCAGAACAGACACAAAGAAAGGGCTTTCGGCTGCGGCTGGGACGAGCACAGGTGCCCAGCCGAGGGCACCAGCTGCAGCAGGGGAGGCCTCTGAAGACCCCGGACCACAGGGACGCCCAGAGTCACATTCGTCGAGGGAGGCAGGCGGTACAATTACGTCCGCTACAGTCACAGGTAAGGCTCGGATGCAAGCATGCCTAAGGAACTAGACTACCCAGAAACGAAACCCAGCGTATTCAGGTTTTCAAATGGTCTAAATACATGTACTTTATGCCTTTTAATAGACTCGTTGTCATGTTTTTTAAAGATTTAATTCATTTTTAGAGACAGGAAGGAAGAAAGAGAGGGAGAGAACCATCCGTGTGTGGTTGCCTCTCGTGCGTCCCCTGCTGGGAACCTGGCCCACAGCCCAGGCACGTGCCCTGACTGGGAATCGAACCAGCAACCCTTTGGTTCACAGGCCGAGTCCACTGAACCACACCAGCCACAGCTCAGTCTTGGTGATTATTTTCGAAAGCTGACGGGGAAATGCTATCATAATTTACTGGACAATTCCTTCACTGCCAGACACTTTTTGTCTTCGCCAACACAGGCACACCGCGAGGAGCAAGGCTGTGTGTGTGTGGCCCCTCCGCACCCCTGGGCTTGGTTCTTCGAGACGCAGTCGCGGCGCACCCCTGCAGCGGGCGAGGGCAGAGCAGAGCCAGGCCGGCGCCTTCTGACCCACGGCGCGCACCCCGCCAGCAGCTTCCCAAACAGCCGCCGCTCAGGGAGGAGCGGGTCTTCACCATCCCCCTTGCTCCCAGTTCTCCTCTCCCCCCGAGTCGCAGCTCCCCCAAGTGTGAATTTTCACCGGTACCTCCTTTGGAGGGAGTTAGTTTCACATCTGAACCCATTTATATATTAATGGCATTCTCATTTTCATCCTTCAAGAGCTCATCAAATGTTAACTCTGTGTTGTATCAGTGCAGATTTCTCCAACCTGCTTTTCCCTTTTACTTTTCAACGTGTTATCAAAACAAAAAAGGTAAACTTTTTTCCTTTCTAATATCATCTGTTGTTTCAAATCTGGAAAAACTTTCACTTATTTCTAACTGGGATAAAATTTCTTCTAAATGTTTAACTGTTGGAATCCACCTAAAGCTTATTTGGAAACGTGAGATGTCCTTACTGAGCAAACACAGTCCCTGAGCAGACGCCCTACCGAGTGTCACTAGTGTCACTAGTGTCGGCATCTCGATGGCTCCACTGCCCTCTCCAGGCACAGTCGCCGGGCGTGCGACCACAGGCCCTGGGGCACACACCAAGTCTGGGGCTGCTGCTCCCCAGGCCGAACGAGTCACACGCTCTCCCCAGCGCAGCTAGCCGGCTCGGAGAACCACGCGGCAGGGTCCCGCAGGCCTGCAGGGGTAGGCCCCTCCCCCTGCTTCGGCACCCGGCGCCAGTGACTTCACCTGGCCGCCCTGCAGGGGCCCCAAGCAGCCAGCAACACCACGTCAGACGCCCCTGCAGCTGTACGCCTCCCGGTCCCAACACTCAGACTGTTCCTTCACTTCCAGGCTTGTGGGCTGGAATAAAAAAGGACTAAAAACCGCTTGGGTCCGTTTAGGTGGGGTGGTCACAGATGGCTCCCCGGCCGCAGAAGCCCAAGGCCAGGCAGGCCCAGACCGGCAGACGCCAGAGCGGAGCTTGTGGGTGGGCACGGTGTTCCCAGCTGCCACCGCGGGCAGAGCACTCGGGCCAGGAGGGAGTCGCTCGTGCGGGCTCTTCTCAAAACCCCAGCCCTTTCACACTCCGGACATCCACGGTGACACGCGCCGTTTAAAAGCGCGCAGCCTGAAGTGTTTTGACAACTGTGTAACTGCTGTCCCAGCCGGAATCCAGGAGACTCCCATCCCCCACAGCTCCCAGCGCCCGTCCGCCCGACCTGTGCCCCGGCCCCAGCGGCCCTGACAGGCCCTGTCCTACACACTACCCCACAGCGGGCAGTCTTCTGTGTCTGGCTTCCTGCTCTCGCACAACGCTTCTGAAACCCACCCACGGTGCTGACTGCAGCCAAGCGCACTTCTTGCTACTGCTGCGCATCACACACATATGCCAAGTGCTCTGTTCTCTACTCACCCGCGGACGGGCATTTCCAGTGTGGAGCGACCATGAATAAAACTGCTACAAACACTTATATACAAGGTTTGATGGACACAGATGATTTCATTCCCAGGAGCAGAATTGCTGGGTCAGAAGGTACATGGATATTGAACTTGGTAAGAAACTGCCAAGCTGCCCTGGCTGGTGTGGCTCAGTGGACTGAGTGCCAGCCTGCGAACCAAAGGGATGCTGGCTCAATTCCCAGTCAAGGCAGATGCCTGGGTTGTGGGCCAGGTCCCCAGTAGGGGGCGAGTGAGAGGCAACCACAGGTTTCTTTCCCTCTCTTTCTCCCTCCTTTCCCTCCTCTCTAACAATAAATTAAAAAAAAAAAAAAAAAACAACCAACCAACCAACCAACCAACCCACCCTGCCTCCCACAGCATCCGTGACATTCTGCAGCACCCCCCCCGCCCCCCCGCTGTACAAAAGCTTTAGCTGTTTCAGCTCGCTGCCGACCTCGCTGCCGTCACAGTCTTCCCCACTCCGCCCGCTCTGACAGGTGTGTGGTGACGTCTGCACTCCCCTGACGACTAATGACTGGGGCGCCTTTCCAAAGGCTTACTGGGCATTCGTGCACCTTCTTTACCAGGACTGTTTTAATTAGGATGCCGTGGGGTTCGCAAGTGTGTGTCTAACGGAACGAAGCCCAAAAGCCCCCGAAGACCACGGCCCGCGGGGACGCGGCGCCGGGAGCGGCTGACCTGGGAGGTGAGTGCGAGGCCGGGCTGCGACTGCAGGAGGTTGGCTTGGCTTTGCTGAGGTAGTTGCGTTAAAAGGTTTTGCGCTTGCAGGAGACCTGTTAAAACACAGCACGTTACGCTAGGAACATCAAGGACTACTTTGAACATATGGTTTAAAAAAAAATAAGATAGTGAAATGGAAATTTCCAGCAGACCCCCTGGTAGTCTTACTGGCCTTAAAACTCTCAGTGTCTTACTTGCCTGAAGTCCACCCCGTTAACATGACCTAGGCAGCCAGACAGACGCGCTGGACTGAGACTGCTAGGTCCCTGGTGTGACCTGAATGAGCCCTGTCTGGCCGCCTCTCTGCTCCGGGAAGGAGCACAGGGCAGTGAAGAGGCCTCTGGACGTTCCCAAGGGCTCGGCCTCTCACCCGAAGCCTTCGAGAACGGCCAGAGGGCTGCCTAGCTCACGAGGCAGCGGGCTCCCCGTAGGTGGAGCAGGCAGGCGCTCCTACAGCAGAGACTCTGGAGTGGACCCTCGAGAAAGAAGGCTACAGGACAGACGACAAGGGTCGGAGAGAAGCACTCGAGTCCCTCGGGTGGAAGCCTTGCCACCCTGCCACCCTCCCCACCGGCTCCGTTACCTAGCTTCACAGGCACGAGCGAACCTCATCGCTGACACCGCTAAAAGGCTGCGAAGACGGTTTTTACAATTCGCAAAATGCACACAACTTCTAACGCGAGGCCCTCTCCTTCTCAAAGCAAACAGCTTTTGGAGCCATCCCCACCCAGCACTCGGCCCACACCCTTGGGCACACGCGGTGGGGAGCTGCCCGGGCGCCGGGAGCGGTCGCTCCGCTCGGGCCGAGTGAGTTCACTCAGACATGCGGCCCAACCCTCGGTCTCTCCTCAGTGACTAAAGGGACGGACGGCTGGGAGGGACCGCCTTCAATGTCGCGGCATGCAGGACTAAATATACGCTTTTAACACGCACACCGAGTGTGACGGCCGGTCAGGGGCGGCAGAAACACTGCCTCCACGGCCGCCGCGGGCTCACCTTGCTGGCCCTGGGGCGTCTGGGAGATGATGAACTGTGCAGGCTGCAGGTTGGTGGTCGGGTGCACCAGCACGAACTGCTGCAGGTTGAGGTTCTGCTGCTGGAGCTGCTGGAGCTGCTGCAGGTCCTGCAACATGAGAGTCACAGTGGGGGTTGGAGACGCGGAGAGGTGAGCTCGCCTGGGCGGAGGGCTCCCTGGGCAGAGGGCTCCCTGGGCAGAGGGCTCCCTGGGCAGAGGGCTCCGGCGAGAGGCTCGCTGTCCTATCCCAACAGGGCGGAGCCCCGCCCCGCCCCGCCCCGCCCCACCCGTGCAACCCCAGTGCAGCCCACAGAGCGGCCAGACCCTGGGCCCGCGAGGGCTGTTTTTGTTGGCGTGTGGTGTGTCGTGACTTACACCGAACCTGATTTCCAAGTTATTTAAAGTTCCCAAAGAGTAAATGGCTAGAATTGTGCATTTTAATGCGTAGACCAATATGGGTTTTAACAATCAAGTGAGAAAAGAATGTTGAGTTTTTAAATCATTGACCGATTTTCCTCTGAAGTAAAAAATTGAGAGTGCTCTCTGAATTTGCATAAATTTAAAAATCCATAATGATTAATGAACTTTGGTACCAGCCTACTGAACTGAGCTGAGAAATCAGTGTAAAAATTTCAGCTATCCATATGAAATCTGACCCACAGCCTGCCAGCACCGCCTTCCACTGGCCTAGGACTTGAAACTGCCAGTGAGCGTCCGCTCGTCTCGCCAGAACGGTGCCGGCGCCGGGCTGCCCGCGCTCCCTCGGGGACCAGCGCGCTGGCCGCGTGGAAATGCCACCTGGATGAAGACGTCTCTGGCAGTCATCGAGACTGGTCCGACATCCACTCCTCACTCCCCTGGTCGCTGGCTTCCTCCTGACATCACACTGGGGCCCCGTCCGAGGCCGCCCGGGGTGGCGAGCACCGCGGTCTGGCCCGAGGCTCGTAACAGCGCCCCCGGGCGTTGCTGACGTGACTGCCCACTCTCTCCTCCGTCCTTGAAGTGAAGGTCGCGCTCACCTTCCTCCCTGCTTGTACCGCCCATGTCTCTTACACAAATTTTTATTCTCTCTAGCTACTTTGCCCTAAAATGTGAAAAATGAAAGCAAACGACGCCCTCACGCAGTTCTACACCACGCTCACCGCTCGGCTGCAGGGACGACCCGCGGGGCTCACGTGGCGGCTGCCTTCCCCGCGGGCACGCGGCAGCACCCAAGGTTGCCGTAAGGAGCTAATTAAAACCACTGCGGTGATGCCCCGCTTCAGAAACACGCCAGCTAATTATCCAAGAATCGTCACTTAATATGAACGGCTGTTCAAATAATCACGTATGTGTTTGTGACACCACAACTCAAAGAAGCAAACAAATGCATCACGTCTAGCTCAGTGGCGGGAGGGAAGGCCACCACTCCCCTCACCGGTCGGGGGCCCCTCAGGCCCGCCAGGGCCCACACAGTGTTCGGAGGGGGGTCTGCCGTGCTATGGAAGCGGGCCTGCCCTCCAGTGCCCTGCCGCCCGCCCGGACAGGAGAGCCCCCCACTCACCTGGGCAATCTGTATGGGCTGCGACAGGGGGATCTGCGTCATGGGCGTGGCGGCGGAGGCGGAGATGGTGGCCCCCGCGGCGCCGTGCTGCTGGCTGGCGGAGTGCTGCTGCACGGCGGCTGCCAGCAGCTGGGCCTGGGCCTGGGCCTGCTGCAGCAGCAGCTGTTGCTGGGCCGGCGTCAGGGCGAGCTGGACGAAACAGGACAGAGGGTCGGAGGGGCTGTTGAGAGGGGCCCCTGAAGCAAGCCCATGGCTCCGAAGGAGGAAACTCAAGGGCCTGAGGCCTCAGCCCCCGACCTCACGGGACGTGCCCGCGGCTGCAGCGGTCGGCGGAGATCGAGCTACTGTTACTACGGGGCACTTGCGGGAAAGTGGTGGACCTCACTCTGGGCTGACCACTCTAGCTTGTCCAGAGCCCAAGAGTTCAGGCAAAAAAGCAATTAACTGGTAGGCAAGAAGAAAAAAAGAATCACTGCGGACAGGATATGAAAAGAAACCGACGCCCAACGGAACAGCAGGCGATCGGCCGGACGAATGAGGACCGAGGACGCGGGATCTGCCCGCGGGAAGGACCGACAAGGCCCAGCTGGCCCCATCGCAGGCGCCGCGCCACGGCCCCGCGTGCCCACTAGGTCGGGAGAAGTGAGCGAAGGACACGCCCTCGCTTGTTTCCTCCCCCGTCCCCGAAGCTCCCTCCCCACACAGTCCTGCTGCTGCTGAAAGCAGCGGGTCTCTGCGACTTCACCTCCCCTTTCCCACGCGTCATCTCTGAGAAACAGGCGGTGACAGCCGCTCTCTCCACATGCAAATGAGCCCCCTAACGCCCAGGTTTAGCAGAGGTTCCAGAGGTCCATAAGCCTGGGCTCCCAAGCGTCTCTCACGCTACTCCAGACACGCATCACCCAGAGCCAGACTCCGGCCGGCAGTGACACGGGAGATGCACTCAGAGCAGATTTAACCCGGCTCTCCTAATGTCCCCCACTTCAGGCCACTTCAAGCACACGTCAAGTGACCGGCGTGTTCTCCCTCCCTCTCCCTCCCTCTGGGGGACGGGCTCTGCCCCAGCCGGGTGGGGGGGCGCCCTGTCTGAGGAGCGAGTCCCATGGTCAGCGCCCCCTCCCCTCCTCCAGTCCCGCTCAGCCTGTGCCTTCGAGACAGAATCAGAATCAAGCTGTTCAAAACTCAGCACCCTTCGAGATATGTTTACAGAGATTTTACACAATATATAAACATGTATTAATCTCTGCTAATGGGGTTCTGTAAACAATTTTGGAATAATACTTAAAAGGGCCTCCCACTGCCAAGTGAAAATGAGGCTATAAAAAAAATTTGTGGGTTGATGTGAACCTGAATAACACAGAAGTCTCCCTTGCCACTCCCCAAACCCCCTCCCCAAACGATGGTTCAGTAGAGGATTTTCAGCCCTGGGAAAAAGTTTTAAATGGCGCCTTAGAGTAAAGACGGTTGAGAAGTTCAAAGCTCGAGACGCCAGCACAAGCCGATTTGGGCCGGTCCAAGGACACGGCCCCCACCGAGGGCCAGCGCCAGGGCCGCCTGGCCCGGGGGCTGGCGCGCTGCGGCCCGGGCGCCTCCACTGAGCTGAGTTCCCAGGCCAGGGGGACACCAATCGGCCCAGAGGGCACAGTGCGAAGCCTGAACTTGAGAGGAGAGGTCTCATTTCAGAGCATCGCACGGAACTGAACACATGGTCCTTTTGCAGGCTCTAATCTGGTCCTGAACGGCTGCCCCACAGTGATGCCGTAACCCAACTGGCAGCCACAATCCCACCCATGCAGGAGTCTCAGCCATGGGATAGCCACTTCCCTGCACGGCAAAACCACAGCTGAAACACGGGCTTAAAAAATGCCCCTTGTTTCCCCAAAGCGTCTGCACTTGGAAGAAAAGACACCCTGACAACTAAAGAAAACCCCCTTTTCAGAGCCGCCTCCAGTGCGGGAAGTTCCCGGACGCCGTGCGCGTGCCAGACGCAGCCGGGACCGCCTACCTGCCGGAGCGGCCGGTCCCGAGGGGAAGGGGGACGCGGCGCTCTCAGGGACACTCACCCCGGTGATCTGCCCTCCAGCCAGCATGAGCTGGGTCTGCGGGAGGGCTGCCGGCACCGACGGCTGCGGGGAGGGCTGGCTGGGCTGCTGGGTGTCCCCCGTCTCCTCGCTGGATTTAGACTGGAGGGGAGCAGAGAGATTCCAGGCCATGCGTTACAAGCAGCGTGATCAGCAGTACCCCATCGTGCAAGAACTGCTTAGTACACGAACTTAGTCATGAGCTTTCGGCGTTTGCTCTTTTCTTTTCTTATAAATCCTCATACTTTTACACACTAAGTTTTTAGATTTTTTTTTGTTCCACTGCCAGCAAAACTGCAATTATAATTTTTAAGAACAGAAAATAATGTGTCCCCTACCAAGCACGGAACTCGCCCACATGCTCCCCTCTGGAGCACGGGCGGCAAGAGCTCGTCTCTGGCCTTCCGTGTCCGGGCCCCCGCGGCCCGGCCCCCAGCCTGCGTTGGGCGGGGAGCCTGGGGCTCGCCACCGCCTCCCCGAGGGATCACGGGCCCGAGAAACTCCTCCGCCACTATTTAAACAGGCGCGACTCTGGCGTGGCTGCCAGGTAGCGCACAGGCACGGAGGGCCGTCCAACCGCTGCGGGCGGGGGGTGGGGGTGGGGGTGGGGGTGGGGGGGGTGGGGACTCGCCCCTGGAAGGCCACCGGAGAAAGTTCCCTGGTAATTAGTGCTGGTGATGCAGAGCGCTGAAATTCTGCATGGATCTGCATATTTCCCACCACCTGTTTTGGGGACTGCAGCAAGGCTAATTAACGTGGAGGCTCTGATTAATCCTGCCCGTCAGTGAGAGATAATTACAGAGCAGGACCGTAAACACTCGGCACTGGAGACACAGCCTGTTTGCCAACATCCCTCTATGGGACGGAAGTTCACCATGGCAACCGAGGCAATTTCCCGCCTCCTCTCCCTCAGAAAGGAAGGTCACATTATCTCCTTCTCTTTCCCCTCCTTGTTTCCATGTGTTAGTAGGTCCGTACCCCACTGGGTTTCACGGAACGCCCTGCCCAAGGCCTTCAGTCGTTAGCAACCCTGAAGTCAGTCTTCCAGAACGCTGTTTTCCCTCTCGACCGTCGGTGACCTAAACCCGTCACTGACAGGAAGCAGCAGGTCCGAGGAAACACTGAGGAGTCCATGCCTAACACCTAAACTTGGCAGGCTTTGCCGCACGGCTCACAGAAGCGAAGGAGCCAGACTTGTGCGGTTTTAACCTCGTGCCCGTCTGACGCCGCCCTCTCTACCGATGGGTCTGCACACAGGGTTCATCACGAGCCCGAGAGCCGGGACAGTTTAGAGCAGGGAGGAGCCCTCGGGAGCCCCAAACTCTCCCGCTTAAGCGCAGGAAGAACACGCGAGCTCTGGGTGGTGACGTGACCCGCCAAGGCCGCGCAGCGGGCAGCTGGCGCCAAGCAGGACCCCGCCCCACGGCCCCACACCAGGGCTCCCCGACACAGGGGGATGGTGACGAGGAGACCTGGAAACGGGGCACTGAAGACACACCCGGCCCCGTGCTCAGGGACGCGCTACAGCTGTGTAACTTAGAAACACGGGCCCCGGACCGGTGCAGGAAGCTTTGAAAGCGGACTTTTCTTGGTCACCTTCGATCATGCACAGTGGCACACTGTAAAATTCATCTTCATCAATGGCAGAGATTATCATTATTTGGGTCTTCATGAGAATCAGTAATAAAAAAAAGGTAACACTTGTAAGCGCTTCCCGTTATAAAGCTATTGCATACTTGTTATATAAAACTGGGAAAACACGGGGAGAACAGAAGACTCCCCCGCCCCGCCCCGCCCCGCCCCGCCCCGCCCCGCTCACCTGCACATTCAAAGACTGGGCAGCAGCCTGCAAACCCGTGCCGGCGAGCTGGACCTGCAAGGAAGCACCGGGGAGTTAGGGGCTGACACGCCAGCATCACCACCAGACTGTCCTCAGCACGGACGGACCTCAAGAGCCTTAGTGGGGGTGTCACCGAGCCTCTGGGTCTCCCCCTGGGGTCGGAGCCACGCGGACGAGCGCGGAAAGCGCGGCTCCCACCGCATCCGTCTGGGAGGGCGGCCGCACAGCCGGGCCAGCCGTGCTGGGCGCCGCGCTCGCGTCAGGCGTGCCTTGCGTCTCCTCCCCTCTGCTCGTCCGGAGACACGGAGACACTGGAGACCCGACTCACCTCCCACGCTGTGTGCAAACACACAGAAGAACAAGCTGCTTATGGGCACTGTGTCTCTCACTATGAACCGTCAGAACGACCTGCTCGTTCTAACTTCAGAATCCCCACACACGCGGGGCCCGAGGAGAAACCTCACAGGCACACACACCTACATAGTCAAGGCCTGAGAGCACTTGCAGTCACGAAGCGCAACGCTGCTGGCTGCAGCGAAGGCTCCGTCCTACAGACCACACGCGGGCGTCTGTCGTACTCAGAGCAGGCATCTCGTCACTCAGGGAGTCCCACCACGGTCACCCCGAATAAGGACCACCACCTGACACCATGACAGTGAGAACCGATTCTGGCAAACGTCATCAACGGACGCCCTGTCACCGACGGCGCAACACGAGGAATAACGTGACACTCCCGCGACCGCAGCGACCCCTCCAGAGGCACTCCCTCATGACCGGGGCAGCGGTGACTTTATTCGGAGGCCCCCAGGAGACGAGTGGCCACAGAGCCCCCAGTGACGCCGCGCGCGCCTCTGGTGGGGTGCACTAGGAAGAGAGTGGCATCACTTCTGTGGTCGTCCCGGCCCGAGTCTCGTCGTGATGAAGCACCAGACACACCCGGGCTGAGCGACACCTCACGGGATAACCGGCCTGCACCCCCGAACACGCCGACGCCCTGCAGGCCCAGACAGCCCGGGGCGACGACGCGGCCGGGGCGACGTGACGGCGGCTTGAGCCAGGGCGGCGGCAGCAGTGGGAGCGGCACACGGTCCACGGCGTGTCCTGGAGCGGCCGGGACACGGGTGGAGGGAAGGAGCCACGAGCTACCCCGAGGCCGACCCTGGGCGACTGGGCACCGCAGCGCCGCTGGCAGGGGGACACGCGCTCCCTTCGGGCCCGGCACGGAGCGCCAGCATCTCCTGGCGCCCCACACCGGGCGGGCGCCCCACACCGGGCGGGCATGGGGCTCAGGGCAGGGCGCAGAGCCGAACCGTAACAAGGTGCTATGTCCTTTATTTAAAGCCGGTTGTCCCCAAACAAACTCAAAGACAGGAGCATGGGCTGGTGGTGGGTCGCGGGGTGGGGGTCAGTGGTGGTGATCACCCGTCCTGCGGACGTGGAAGTACAACGTTGTACCAATTTCGCCTCAATTTAAAAAATACCCTGCAGTCCTATTAGTAGATAAGAATCCTCAAAACACAAAACCCCAAACAAAAAAACCCAAAAGTTTGTAAAGAACACATTTCAGACACAGGGTGACCAGGAGGGCGGCCAGAAGGGCGGCAAGTTCAAGACCGTTGGCTCAGGAGCAGCCCCGGGGCCGAGGGGAGGGTCCCAGGCACAGACACGCAGAGGAGGTGCAGCCTCTGGCCCTGACCCGCGACGCAGGCCACGCCGGGCGCCGGCTGTCGCGTCTGCCCCGCGGTCAGACTGACCCCCCAGCCTGCCCCGTCTGTCACCGCGCGGGCAGCTGTGCAGGCCGGCTGATTCACGGAGGGCCCCGACCTGAGTTTGTCCGAGTTGGTCCCCGTCAGGAGGACACAGAGGGCACGTGACACCAGCCCGTCAGGCCACTGTGCAGCCGACTCGGCCATCTGACCGCAAGGGCAGCTGGAGTGGTCCATGCGACGGGGAGGGTCTGCGAGGAGACGCCTGAGGGCTTCTGAGTGGAACTGAGATTCCCTAGCGACACCCAAGCTCGGGCTCTGACCCTGGAACCCCGGGCCACACGCTGCCAGCGTCTCAGGGGAGGGGCCGCACCCCGAGGTCGCAGGTGCTGGAGGCCACAGCAGATGGGGGTGGAGCCTCAGACACGCGCACGTAGAGACTGCAGCCCTGCCGGTGACACGCGCCACTCACAGCAAGGAGCCGTCTGTCCCCACGCAGCTGCGGGGACAGTCGCTGCACAGCCACCAGAGCTGCAGGACTGTGGACGTGCCGTTCAGAAAGGCACGGCGGGAAGAGAGGAGCGCCAGGCGCAATCACCCCCCCTCCCCCCGGGAGGGAGGCCCAGTGTCCTCGCCCCTCGCGCTCCCCCGCCCCCCGCAGCAGAACTGCCCCCTACCTGGTGGAGGTGTCCGAAGAAAGCCTGGGCCTGGGCTGTGGAGATCGCGCCTCCGACGGGCACCGGCTGCTTCTGGAAGTCCAGGCCGTTTGTCTGCGTGCCTAGGACACAAGCAGAAGAGCTTACCGACAGGGCTCGGGCGCGCACTCCGCCCGAGCCGTTCTCCAGCTCCCCGGGGAAGAGGGAGGTGTGACAGGAAGAGGGGCGCGGGGAGAGCCTGGGCAAGGGACAGACGTGCGAGTGAGGGGCCACGACCTCGGCAGTGCCGAGAGTGCAGGCATGGACGCGGCGCGTGGGCAAGGGGTCGGGCACGAGAGGCCCGTCGCCCACGCTGAAGGGAACAGTAGAGATGGGCTCCCAGCGGGCGTCACGCTCGCAGTGTGTGGGCAGAAGGCACCCGGGGCGACGCTGACGAGACAAGACAGGCCCCTCCCTGCACTGGTCAGGGACAACCTGAGGCAGAGGCGACCGCTCACCCGGCAGCCGCCGGAGCGGCACCGGCCCCTTCGACCCCAGAGCACAGGGCGGTGCCCGTAACCGCCGGCAAGGGCTCCGCGGTGCTCACGGTTTCGTGAACAATGCGAGATCCGGACCAGCTCACGGAGACACGCCGCCCCGAATACCTTCTAAGGCACGTGGCACGCTGTTTTCAAATGACCACATCCAGCCACTAACTAGGAATGACCAGAACGCTTTCTGCCGAACAGAATGTGACGGGCCACAGCAACCGGCAAGAACCATCAGGACACACGTTCGGGCACTGCCCTTCCACCGCCCGCCGCCGGGACACCCGTGTGCTCGTCCTCGCCGCCCCACGTGCACGCACACGGCACCGCGGTGAGGGGCACCAGCTAGGGTCTCCGGCCGTATCTCTGAACGGTGGGCCTGTGCCACTGTACCTCCTAACCTCTAGCAAACGTCTCCTTGTTCCTTGGGATAACTGTAAGAGGGGTGTGTGTGTGTGTGTGTGTGTGTGTGTGTGTGTGTTTCGCCTCCTTAAAATCTCTTAGTGATTGTTCTTTCAGGGTTCCCCCCAAAGTTTCCGCAAGCAGGAGGCCGCAGAACTGCTGAGACGCTGCCCGCTGGGTCGGGCAGTGGCGAGCGAGCATGGGCTGGGTCTACATCTACAGCGACCAGGGTCACTCGCAGAAGGCACACACTAGGGAAGCGCCACCCTCTTCAAGTCGCGCACTGTGTCACTCGCTCCTGCCTCTGCCTCTGTGCAGGAAATCACGAATTAGGTTAGGTCGCAGCATTATTCGCAGCTGCTAAGATATGGAAGCAGCCCGAGTGTCCGTCACTAGAGGAGCGGATAAGACAACTGTGGGGCGTTTACACAGCGGAACACGACTCCGCCACAAAAAAGGGAACCTCAGCCTCTGCGACAGCACGGACGGCCCTGGAGAGCAGTATGCTGAGTGAAATAAGCCAGTCGGAGAAAGACACATACCACGTGATCTCAGTCACATGTGGGACCTACTGAGCAAAGTGAACTACCGGGCGGACTGGAGACAGACTCGGACACGGGGAGCAGGCGGACAGCGTGGGCGGGGGGGCCGGAGCGAAAAGGAGAAAGGGCTCATGGGCACACCCGGGCGGCGACTGCCGGGGGCAGGAGGTGTAAGGGGACTGAATGGTAACGAAAAAATGTAATAGAAGTAAGTTAGTTAAAAAATAGAAGGTAAAACCACTGGAAAACACAACAGCGAACAAGCCTGTGCCGCGTCAGAGAGGCACGCCCCAGGCCTGACAGCGGAGGCCAAGGGAGACGCGGCCTGGAGAGGCGAGACGGGCCCTGGGGACGGGCGCGCTGCCGGCTGGGGCGTCTTCCAGGACCGCGCGCTGCACGGCCAGGAGCCCAGGGCCAGTGCGCACGCCGGTCCCACCTGCGCGTCCCCACGGAAAGGGCAACGAGCCCCTACAAAGCACAAAGCACCAACAACGCCAGACCGACGGAGGCCGCCTGAGCCCGCGGGCCCGGAGGAACGCCCCCCGACAGCCGCGGAGGGGAAGGGGCGTGAGATGCAAAGGCAGGTCTTCTTTTAAGACGGTGACGAGGCTCCGTCGGGGGTGAGGGGCGGAAGGAGGCAGATGCGACACAGAAGTCGGTCTTACAGAACAGACCTGGACTCGGCTGGAGGCAGGGGGGCAGGGAGCAGGGACCCACACGCACGTCCTGAGCGTGAGGACCACGGGGGGACGGGGCTGCTGGCACCCAGGGCCAGACGTGTGCCCGGGGACACAGGCACACCCACCTAAAGCAGCGGGGCGACCCACAGGGAGGGGGGGCGAGGAGGGGGCCGAGCGGCACAGAGAGTTCAGACACACACGCAGGAAGTGGCCCCGGAGGCGTTCACCAAGGGCAGGGCCAGAGCTACAGCCGCCTCGAACGTGTCGCTAGGACGGCGTCGCTAGGGAAACCTCGGAGATCTTGCACCCGGCCTCCGGACCTCGCCGGTGAGGAAGCAGACTCGGGGATCCTAAGTGTGTTGCTCAGGACGTCACAGCTGGTTGGTGGGGAGGGCCGAGGCATGGAGTGGGTTCCCTGACCCTGTCTAATCACTCCCGAGGTCCGAGTCAGGAGAGCAGAAGTGGCTACCGAGTGAGACGGGACACAGAGAAGGGGGTGGAAGAGGCCAGGGGCACCTGCCGGCACCGCGGGGGCGCCCCGGAGCCGGCCGCGGGGCCGCGGGAGGGCAGCCAACACCGTCAGCGTGCAGAGAGGGGGAGCGGAGGGGGAGGCTCACCCAGACAGACCAGAGGAAAGGGCCGGAAACAGGGAAGACAACAAAACCCACGCTGGGGTGGGGAAACGGAGGGTTCCAGATGTGAGTATGCGAAACAGAGTTTACGCTTGTATTACTACTTATTAACGATTGCATTTACTTGTACCACAGCCATAACCCTAGGTCTGCTCGCTGCTGCGACAGAAGCACCAGCTGGGTTCTTTCTGCAGCGCCATACAGAGCTCTGCCGAGAGGAGCCGAGAAGGGGGGAGGGGAGCCAGAGCGCCCCCGAGGCTGGCGGGAGGGCGGCGCTGGAGGGGGACGGCTGCGGACCCACGCCTTCACGCCGGTCACACAGGAAGCGGGTGCAGACGACTGCAGAAAAGAGATGTATCGAGACTGACCCAAGAAGAAACAGATAATCCCAAGAGGCTCATAGCATTTGAAGACATTAAATTAGTAAATAAAAATACCCACCTGCCAAATGAAAAGCCTAGACAATTTTTCTCTGTTTGCTTCCAAAAATCTAAGGAAAAACAAATCCAATCTTACACAGCTTTCCAGAGTTGGAGGAGAGGGAAGTACTTCCCAATTCATTTTATGAGGCCAGCAAAACCTTGACACTAAAATTTGACAAAGGCAAGTATAAAACTTACACGTGTCACATGAAGGAAATACTTCCAGGACCAAGGAAAGCAGAAAGAAAGTCCTTATTCTAAAACTCTAACATATGAACAACTTTGTCGGCAAGAAGAATTCCCAGCAAACAGTCACGCTGCCCCTCACCTAGTCAAACACTGCTTCCCCGGCTTCCCCTTGAAGATGCGAGCCAGTTAGGTGGTGGCAGTTTCCCACCTGCTTCAGAAACACGAGGAAGCCCCTGGAAAGCTGCAGTGAAACCCCTAACCCTCTGGTGTTTCCCGGTGCCGGGGCCCCTGGCTTAAACCAGGGCCCTCTGCCACAGCCCTGCCCGCACTGCTCACGCGCCCGAGCGGCCCTCCTTGCGGCACCCGGCCCCTCCGCGCCCTTCCTCAACCCCACAAGGACACCCTGACGCCCTCTGTCCCTAACCCTGTCTGGAGTGCGTCCTCCTGCCTGGAGACGCGCTCATCGGCATGTGTTACCTGCACCTATCTTTACCCCTCCCCCCGCCCCCTTCTCTCCCTCGAAGGGCGAGGGCCCCTTCTACTCCACGCCACCTCGTTCTCCCCCCAGTGCCCGGAGTGCGCAGCTGCTCCTCCCTGGGGGCTTTCAGCCCCCTCTCTTTGCTGCTCCCTTCCCCCTCGAACCTTCCCCTTAGTTCACATTATTGCCAGTAGCGAGCCTTTTCAGCGTTGGGTCACTTACACAGATACTCCAGTTCTGCGCAGTGCATCGTTACTATGTATCCCTCTCTCACAACCGCAATGCATCGTTACTGTGTATCCCTCTCTCACAACTGCAATACATCGTTACTGTGTATCCCTCTCTCACAACCGCAATGCATCGTTACTATGTATCCCTCTCTCACAACGCAATGCATCGTTACTGTGTATCCCTCACAACCGCAATGCATCGTTACTATGTATCCCTCTCTCACAACCGCAATGCATCGTTACTGTGTATCCCTCTCTCACAACCACCAAGCAAACGGATGCACAGAGGGAGAGGGTCTGCCCGAGGCAATACCCCTGCCAAGAGAAGCAGGGTCTGAACCCAGGTGCTGTGGCCCCCGGGCCCGAGCTCTGAGCCACCGGCTGCACGGCTTCCCTTATAGAGTCCCCTGGGTTATCGTCCCCCTTCCGCCACCACTCACTCTTCTGTCTGCAGCAGCTTCTTCCCCCACCACTTGCCAAACGCCTTTTAAAAGGTCCCCACTCACTACTAACTGTCCAATCCACAGGCCGCATGTGAAGCTTCCTGTGTCCTGACCTCCCTGCAGGACCCGCCTCCCCTGATGCTAAGGCCCTGGACCCACTGCCAGCAGCTCCTGGGCACGGTGGTGTGGCTGGAGCGACTGCGATCCGCGGCCCCCTACAGGGCAGTGTGGGAACTGCAGGCACCCCCAACCCCAAACACGAGGTTGCAGCAGAGCTCTGTCCTTGGTCCTTACTCCGCTCTTCCCAGCAGGCTGTCTCCGTGAACGCGTCCACAGCTACAGAAGGAGCCCGCTTTCTTTCCTCAGGAACAGACCGCTACCTTCACTAGACTACTTCTTTACCGGCAAGCCCCCCAGGGCACCCCCAATGCAGTGCTTTCAGAACCCAATGTGTCACCTCCTTGGGGAGTCTCCTCCCCCCTCAGGCAGTCCCTACGCAGGGGGCAGCGGCCACCCCTTCCAGCCTGGCCCCGAGAGAAGCGCAGGCACTCACTCTACATCACTCCCTTTCCTCTTT